AACCCGACATTGGGTCGACTCTGGCGAACATGGCGCAAACGCGTCCGAGGGTCCAACCTGTCGCGGGCAGTTTCACGAGAATCAATGCGCCGCCGCCATAGCGTGTTCACCACTACCGGCAGTAGGAAGAGCAGCGTTTTCACCGCGGATGAATTTTCAGTCCGTTCGGCAACCTCGCCAGTCCCCGAAACACCAAAAGACGTCGACCCAACCTTGGTGCCCTTGCCGCTTAATGACCACGATATTCAGGAAATTGAGGTCCCTGGTTATCTGCCAGAGCTTGAGACTGGCGAGATTCAAACCATGCAGGCTGTAGTAGCCCACAAAGTTCGTCCCCATAGTCTTATGGTACTCACACTGCCTTCCCCGAGATCGCCATCATCGAACGGCAACTCGCCCCTTACCCCTAAGCTACAGACCGTGACAATCACCCGTCATGCTCGATCAAGATCGTTGCCCAACGCTGGACCCGGGGAGGAGACTCCAGAACCTGAGCAGTTTCCAGAGCGACCGTCACCGACTGCATCCGAGGAGCGGCGGCGCTTGGAGACAATGTACGAACATGACGAAGATGACGAGCGAAATGCCGACCAGGGACGCAAGGAGGAAACTATAGAACTCGTGAACCATGTAGACGAAGAAACAAAAGCAGTGCCGGAGACGACCACGGTTCTAGCCACCTCTGTTGTTGCCCACGAGGTAATCACTCCGGTCTCCCCAACGTCACCGATCGAGACAGAAATCCTCGAGGGCCAAGGGACACGTGCGAGACCCAGATTGGCTTCTGCGCAGCGACCGCGACCAAAAACGATGCGAGAATCATCGATTTACGAAGAGCGGTCACCGCCTGCTACTCCTGTTTTGGTGGATGAACAATTTGGGTCAACGGTCAAGGAAGACGCACCGCCGACGCAAGGGGCTGACTCTGTCTCGGTAGCGCCCGCTGTCGATCTCGACGAGTTATCATCCGAGGAGTCTGTAGCCCCTCCTACCACTCGATCTTCGACCGATGACGGTCATTCGTACAAGGCCTCCAGGCCCCTTTCAACCTCTGGAGATAGCGCCTCCTCGGACGTTTCGCGGAAACTACCCAAATCTAGCCCTCTCTCCAACGGTACCAATCATCGCTACGGGCGATCCAGCCCTGGAATCTCATCGGTCAAATCCGGCATTGAGCGTGCCGCCGTTCAAAGACTGTCAGGGCGACCATCCACCTCGGTGGCATCTTCAAGCTATTCCAAACCGCGCCGCTCGGACAGTTTCGGCAGCAGCCGCGAGAGGCGTCCTGTGACGTCCGGCTCATCATCTGCTTCAAGCAAGCTAAAGGGCCTGATCGTCCGTACCGGGGATTCCAACTCTTTGCGCCTGCGGAACTCGTCTGAGATAAGCAGGGTGTCAACTCAGGAGTCAGTCTTCGATGACACCACCGGCCTAGATGAGCTTATCCGCAGCGAAGAAACTTTACACTTCACACTGACTCCTAGAAACATGAGAGAAATGGAGGTACGTCTGGACCCCCTCAACCCCCCAAGTCGTCAAGGAATGTCACTAACTGTGAAACCAGCTGCCTGATTCACCCAGATGGCGAGCCCAGCAGACCACCCCGTCTGAATCGGATTTCGCGCGACCAAGAACATCTCACGCATCTTCCAAAAGCATCATGGACCTTGCTCCCATGTCCAAGTGCAAATCATCGGACCAACCCAAATACACCCCCATCGTGGTGCCTGCTGTACTCCCACCGCAGCCCACCACTGAGCAGAGTATTGTATCACCGACATCCATGAATTCTACTGGCTCAGGTACCCCTACGATCACTGGGTTTGACAAAAGTGGTTCTGGCAAACCATCAAGCGTGCGCCGCGTTTCTGATGCGACCGATGTCTCACGCAGGGTCTCCAGACCAGTGAGTGCTTCAGCTCGTAACAGCAGTGCACGTTTGCAAGCACGCCCTGCTGTGGCCCCTAAAGGAGATCAGACCTCCGATTTGATCGATTTTATCCGCGAGGGACCGCCTACTCCCGGTGCTCACCGGATTTCACGTGCGGTGGCGCCATTCCGCGACACTATGGACTCAGACGAATTGCAGGCTCTAGAGTCGGGGCGTCCGAGTATGCAAGGATCACTTACGGCGAATACACTAACTTCCGTTGGCTCCCATACCGGCCTTCTGGAGACAGGTCTTCGGTCAAGCACTCCCACCACACATAGCAAGGATAATTCGGAAGATATGCGACCGAAACGAACGCAGCGTCGCGTACGAGACCCCTATGCAATTGACTCGGATGATGACGACCTTGAAGATCTTCTCGAACCCGCGAAACCAAAGCGCGATGAGGAAAGTCTGATGGATTTCTTGCGAAACGTACCACCCCCTGCGTCTGCAGCTCCACCGCAACCTTTGACTACGAATGTGGGTACCCGGCGGGGCTCATCTGCTGGCTTTGCTGGTGCTTCATCTGTGAAGACCCTGCTCACTCGGAGCACGGCTACCGAGAAGAACGTCCTCGCACAACCTTCAAGGAGCTCCCCCCGCCAAGCGTCCGATACTTATATGACTGGGGCAAACAACAACTATACGACTAAATCTGGTGGATCCATGAATGCTGCCTACGGCTTACCGTCTGTTTCTCAGAGGCAAACCGAGACTAGTGCGCTAGCCGACTTTCTGAGGAATACTGGCCCTCCTGAGCCTCCAGTGACCAGACCTACGCAAACCGCTCCCCCAACTAAGTCGAAGGAATTAGGCTTCTCGCGCCTTTTCGCACGTCGAAAGAAGATCGAGGTCTGATTCATGCCACCGTGACTTTCTTTTTTCTTTGAGGACAGCTGTTGCTTTCTCTGCGACCCTGAACACGACATGCTATCACTGGCAAATGACCTGTCTTTCTGAGCGTTGTGACTTTTGATGATGATACCTCTACCTTCAATTCTTTACCATTTCCTGTCCATAATGACACTATTCCTGACATTGGAACTATTCCTTGTTCTATCTTTTCACATCTCCATACCCTCGTTGGCCATGTTCTGTTCGAACAATATCACCCCTCGCTTGCAGCGATTCTCTTTTCTACTTCTAGTTGATTCCCCTGTGTTCTCAGCTTTTCTTCTTCTTTTCGTGTCAATGACCCCAAGGGCCACTAATTCCAATCCAAATTCTTGCAATCTGGGATCTACATCCTATGGTATCACTTTTGGTTCGAGCCATCTTTACATCCTACTTTGTATCGAGGAATAGGGCACCTTTGCCGATACTGTACATAGTAACATAATGTAGCTGCCTGACACATTTCAATAGTGTCTGCGACCAGAGATGAAGACTTTCGTATACTGTCACTACTTGCAGCCAAATCCATATCGCATAAAGTATAAGTACGATGCTGCGGCCAAGATATCCAGACTAGGCATTGTTGATTCAACCTGAAACGGGAAGGGGGGCCGATAACCGGATCAATGTTATGCCGGCCTTGCCCGGTCCCCTGGAGCGCGGCGTGGCATCAATAATACTGGCCGCTTCCGAGCTTCGTTGTCAATTTCCTAGACTTTACTGTCGGCCGCTGCGACAATCGCCGTTAACAATGGCGGCAACTCACTTTACGATGAGGTCCCTTCTTGGCCTTCTATTTCTTCTTTTTGTTCAACTCTCTTCCGCTCTCAAGTTTGACCTGTCTGCCGTCAGTGGAAAGAATGAACGGTGTATCCGCAACTTCGTCTTCAAGGACCAGCTGGTTGTAGTCACTGCCATTGTCAGCGGCAACAAGGGTGACGGACAAGTGGTCAACATGCACGTACGTGGCAATAATCCCGGAGCTATCTCTGTGGCGTCGGATCGAGCAAGCATCGAACTCGCCGTGATTCTCGAGGGACCTTCGAAGGACTGGGGTCGGGACACGCAATCAGCTAACTATATATGCTGGGAATAGATCAAGGATGCCCTGGGCAATGAGCACGGTCGTCCCAAGGACATTGCCGGAGAGACTCGCCAGGCCTTCACTGCCCCTGCCGACACTGCCTTTGATGTTTGCTTCGACAACCAGTTGACCACCCGCCGTACGTCTCACCTTGCTCTCCCCTGAAGACTTCCGAAAGAACGTGCCCAGTGGAATGCATAACTAATCATCTTTGGGGGGGGGTGATCGTACAGACGCTATTCCCAACCCCTACAAGTCGATCGAGCTCGACGTCGAGATCGGTGCCGACGCCCGCGACTGGTCCAGCATCCAGGTTCAGGAGAAGCTCAAGCCCGTCGAGACCGACCTCCGTCGCATCGAGGAGATGGTCGCGGAGATTGTTAGCGAGATGGAATACCTGCGCGCCCGTGAGCAAAAGCTGCGCGACACCAACGAGAGCACGAACGAGCGTGTCAAGTGGTTCGCTTTCGGCACTATGGGCATGTTGGTTGGATTGGGCGCTTGGCAGGTGGTCTATCTGCGGGCCTACTTCAGGTATGTTCCTTTCTCTTTTCTCTTGCTTCATTGCGTATATGGGGATCTGGATTCGAGCAAGGGTTGGCTAAGCCTTTCATTCTTTTTGCGTACAGATCCAAGCACCTTATCTAGATTTCTTTCTTGTAGCTTGGAGTGTATTCTGTGGGGATGGAGGAGGTTACAGGTTGATGCTTCTCTACTTGTCATGACCAATATATGGACTTTCTTCCAATTGCATTGATATACAGCTTCTTGATCGTTTGTAGTCTATGATAGCCGTGGTGGGTGAGTCGCACTTGGTGATTATCAACAGTAGACATGACACTTAGCATAGAAACCTCCTAGGATCAGCGAATAGGATACCGTTTCTCTCCAACAGTTCCCACAATTTCCCAATGAGAAGAGAATCCTCGACTGAAGTCATGATAGCATCAGATGCGAAAGCTGCCACTTTTCGAAATCGGCAGGTCGCGGTTGGTGCATCGTGCCGTGCAAACACAGCAAACAGCTGCATCTGCGGATGATGTCAACCCGGTCTTTCTTCGCCGGATCAATTGCTCGATTACCGACGGACTTCCCCAGAGTCCGATCAAAAAATCATTATCCTCAGGACTTTCTCTTTGCTCCCAGTAACTCATTCGGGATATTGACACATAGCCACGATGTCCGCATCCAGACTTGTCCACCGCTTTGTGCGGCCATCCGCATCTTCCCTCTCGTTTACCACAACGACCACTTTTGCCCGTCGCTCTTTCGGCAACTCGGCTGTTCGTCTCAACGGCGATAGCGCCGTGAAGGATCGCGCGCCCTCGACCGCGCCCCAGCACCGAGAGAACCAGATCAACAAGCCCCACAACCCCAATGTCCCCAACACGACCTCTACGATGACCAAGGACTTCCCCAAGGTGGGCGCCAAGTCCGCGCCGCCAGACCTCGTGGGCGCCGTCGACCCGAACTACAAGCCGGCGGACCCGTACCCCGGCAAGGTCGAGCATTTCACCGGAGGGCGCGAGGAGACCGGGGCCCAGAAGCCGGAGCTGGGTGTCGGCGAGATGGAGGGTATCACCTTCCGGGTTGAGCCTCTCCGCCGATCGGGCGAGGATGTAACGACCATGCGCGCTCGGTTATTGTGTATGTCTTTTCCCCTTGCCTCTTTACTGGCATCACTATTCAAATCACCTCTTGTGCGGGCTTATTAGTTCGAACCCCGAGAGCGTGTCGTGTCGGAGATATATCGCTAATTGACATTGATATTTGCAAACAGATCAGAGCCGAAAGCGCGGCATCCTCGAGTCCGACCTGCTGCTGTCGACCTTCGCCGACGTCTACCTGGGCAAGATGGACCAGGCGCAGCTGCAGGAATACGACCGCTTCCTCGATGAGAACGACTGGGATATCTACTACTGGGCTACGCAGGACCCCCCAGCCGATGGCGGGGAGCAGTCCCCTTCGTCCACGGCCCAGGGGGCCCAGGATACCGTCACCGAGACCTGGAAGCAGACTGGAGCCAAGAGCGGCGAGTGGGCGCAGACCGTGGGCGCCTACAAGGCTGCTTACCGGCCCGTGCCGTCGCGGTGGAAGGAGTCGAAGGTGCTGGAGCTGCTCCGGGCGCATGTGCGCGATAACAGTGCCACGGGCTTCCATGCGGCCAAGAGTAAGAAGACCGGGGGTGCTGGGTTGGGAAGGATGCCAAATGTGCAGGTGTTTAACTAGAGGAGAGTGAGGCTTGCGTGTACTATATAAAATGAAGGTGCGCTAGGACTGATATTCTGAGTATGTATATTACGTTGGTAGTCGGAATTGAACACTGCATGTAAACTGGACTTTGACTGGACCGGGGAATATTGGAGGCCGGGGTAGATCGATCGTCGACGGGAGCGGAGGATGCATAACTAACAGGCTGGAGGGTTATGCCAGGGTGAGTCAGCAACAGTGCCACGTGACTCGCTTGTCCTGGCTTAGGGTTGGGCGAGGCGCACAACAACCAGTCGGGCGGGCACGCTAGTTAGGGCTCAGGCGGGCACGCTGTCTCCTCCATCCTCGAAACAGTTGCTGTGTGCATTTTTACTTCCCAGCCCAGAGTCAAGGACAATTGCTCCGCCCGCGTTCATCCCTCTCTCCTCATCGTCACCCAGACTCCAACATGGCTGAGCAACTGGTCCTCCGCGGCACCCTCGAGGGTCACAATGGCTGGGTTACCTCCCTTGCCACCTCTCTGGAGAAGTAAGGGCATACCAAACACACATACCGAAGAAAAAAAAAACCTACCACACAACCTCAACCGAAGTGCGATTTTTGTTTGCGAGTTTTGCGAGGAATGGTGCAGGGCGATGGAACAATTTTATATATGCTGCGCCCCAAAAAGCCACAAAAGAAAGACCGGAGGTTTGGAGTGGTATATATAGGTTGTTTGATTGTCCGCAACAGGAATCATGAAATGATGGCAACAAAATCGCACTAGGTTGAGAGAAGAAAAAAAAATGATAGTTTGATATGGACAACATGAGTTCTGACATTTTCTTGTTCTTGTGACTTCTAGCCCCAACATGCTGCTCTCCGCCAGTCGCGACAAGACCCTGATCATCTGGAACCTTACTCGCGATGAGCAGGCCTACGGTTACCCCAAGCGCAGCCTTGAGGGCCACTCTCACATCGTCTCTGACTGTGTATGCTACCGATCTCCGTTCCATCCTCCAACCATCCGTGTCCAACCCGAAGGCCAAGCGACTGCCAATCCAGGCTGTTCGGGATGAGGGAAAGGGTCAGAAACGAAAGCAAGAAGGAATGATGGGCTGACCGTGTGCGGGCTTCGTTTGTATAGGTGATCTCCTCCGACGGTGCCTACGCTCTGTCCTCCTCCTGGGACAAGACCCTCCGCCTGTGGGAGCTCTCCACCGGTGAGACCACCCGCAAGTTCGTCGGCCACACCAACGACGTTCTCTCCGTCTCCTTCTCTGCCGACAACCGCCAGATTGTCTCCGCTTCCCGTGACCGCTCCATCAAGCTCTGGAACACCCTCGGTGACTGCAAGTTCACCATCACCGACAAGGGTCACTCCGAGTGGGTCTCCTGCGTTCGCTTCAGCCCCAACCCCCAGAACCCCGTCATCGTCTCCGCCGGTTGGGACAAGCTCGTCAAGGTACGTTCGATTTTTCGGTCTGCATCGGTTTTTTTCTTTCTTCGATTCGTCCAGAGGATGTTTGCATATCTACGTATTTGCTACTTCAGAGCCTTCTGGCCATGAGACAAACAATCACCCAATGCCTGATGGACAATCGACCTGTTTTTTTGCTGTTTGTGGTTGCGAGAATGGTGGAATTGAATTTCTGGTTCATCCAATGCTTGATCTTCGGAATGAAGACTAACCCGCAATCCATCAAATAGGTTTGGGAGCTCGCTTCCTGCCGTCTCCAGACTGACCACATCGGTCACACCGGTTACATCAACACCGTTACCATCTCCCCCGATGGATCCCTCTGCGCCTCCGGTGGCAAGGACGGTACCACCATGCTCTGGGATCTCAACGAGTCCAAGCACCTCTACTCCCTCCAGGCCGGTGACGAGATCCACGCCCTCGTCTTCTCCCCCAACCGCTACTGGCTGTGCGCTGCTACCGCCAGCAGCATCACCATCTTCGACCTCGAGAAGAAGAGCAAGGTTGACGAGCTCAAGCCCGAGTTCATCGAGAAGGGCAAGAAGAGCCGCGAGCCCGAGTGCATCAGCTTGGCCTGGAGCGCTGATGGCCAGACTCTGTTCGCTGGTTACACTGACAACAAGATCCGTGCCTGGGGTGTCATGTCGCGGGCATAAATATGCTCCAACCCAACCCTCAAAGCTTAATTAGGATTTTGGTCGGGGCGGAAAAGTGTGCGAGGAGAGAGAGAGAGACAATATCAACTTGAACTCATGTTTGTTATTTTTTTTTCTTTTTTTTTCCCAAGATCAAAATAAAAAGGGCAGGCATTGGTTTGGGATGTATGAGCCATGAGCAAATGATAAAAAAAGGACTCTGGGTTTTTCTTCCGCCTGGTGTTTCTAACTCACACCCAAAACTCACCCTATCCCCACCGCCCTCCCCCCAATTTCCCCCCTCTATACCCACCCCGTTCATTCGGGCTTCTTTCCCCCGGGTTATCGTTTGTCTCTCTTCACCATGTCTAGCTCCTACTCGATTCGTGGTCTTAAAACACGACGGATTGCCGGGGAGATTCTTGTGAACGATGAGAGGTGGATTGTTCGAATACTATTCAAAAGATGTTAAAAAACTTATATCTTTGCTCTCCCTCCTCCTCTTGGGGTCTGATATAATCGGTCTCGTAGTTGGTTCTAGACTTAGTTGGCTTGGTGGGCACTCTCTCGATGAAGTCATAGTCCAGTCAGCTAGAGCAATCGGTCTACTGTCTAGATCGTCGCACCACTACGTACCCTAACTACCATCTAGCTACACGGATTTCCAAAATAGGAAGCGGCAGAAAGGGCATGGAGCTGGAGGCGGTCAGAACTGGAACCTACTAGGTACCCTCGTTCGCCTCAGATTTCGTAAGATGACCTCCGAAGACATGCTTTACGTTTGGTAGATGCACATACATGCACCGGGTCCAGACTGTCAGAGTCGAATAATGTACATTTTCTTTTATCTTTATGGGGAGATGCGTATGCACGGCCACAGGTACAGTCAGTACATGGATGGCCTAGCTCTGGCATTCACTGCGTCTTGATCTCTTTCAGCGCCGCCTTGACCCCCTCCACCAAGCCGGGCTCGTCCAGGCGCTGCGCGATGCTCAGTGCATTTTTGTAGTGCTCCCTGGCGACGTCCGGCTTCTTCTCCAGCCGCGCCAGCTCGCCCAGACTCTGCAGCGCGGCCACACAGGCCTCGTTGCATTCCGCCTCCTGGCCCTGGGGGTCGATCTTGCCCGCGACGGCGCGGGCCTGGTCGAGCCACTGGCGGGCCTGCGCGATCACCTGCTCGCGCGGGGCCCGCATCCCGGCGGTCGGCTTGGGGGCCGCGGCGATCTCGCCCATGGTGGCGCCGATCGAGGCCATCAGGAACGGCTGCTTGCACGTCGGGGTGTCGCCCTCCGCGGCCTTCATCACGTCGCTGGCCCGGATGAACAGCGGCAGGCAGAGGTCGTACTTGCCCTGGGTGAAGTAGAGGTTGGCCAGGTCCTTGAGGGCGATGGCGATCTCCTCAAGGTTCATCCAGCCATCGTCCTCGTCGGTAGCCTCGGCGCTTGTTGTTGGTGGTGGTGTTGCCTTTGTTTGGTTCCCGACGGGAAGGCCCAGGGCCACCCGACGGTTCATCTCGGTCAGGCAGAGCTCCACGGCTTGCCGCTGGTTCTCCTCCGCCTTCTCCAAATCCTGCATGTAGTCGCTCTCGTATAGCTCGGCCAGCTTCATCGACATGCCGACGCACTTCTTGAGCACCTTGCTCTGCTGGCGGTCGTCCCACGCCTGGAACTCGGCCTCCTTGGCTGGATCCGGGGTACTTGCGCCGGGTTGCTCGTCGTCCCGTTTCACAGCATCCTTCTCACCGACGTCCTCGCCGGTCGCCTGGCGGATCCGCTTCTCCACTGCCTCCTTGCTGGCGTCGTTGGGATCCACGGGCGTGGCCACCGTCGGCTTCTGCGGGAGCGACCGTGCCCGCCGCGTCCGATACACCCAGGCCAGCGCCCCGGCCCGCGTCTGCTCCAGCACCTTCACCGCCGCCGAGACCAACCCGGCCTTTTCCAGCATATGCGACACTTGCAGGTGAACCCCCAGGATCTCGTCCGAGTACTGGTGCAGCCCCATCTCGAGCCCGATGTGGATCGCGTCCTTGTACGCCGCCATCGCCTTCTGCGGTTGCAGGTCCACGTCCGTGTAGTAGACCGCCGTGCGCAGCCGCTCCGCCATCGGCGGCGGGAACTTGCTGTACTGCGGCGCGACCTGCGTCACCTCAACGTAGGCGATGTAGGCGAACAGGCAGGTGGCGCTGAAGACGGAGAGCAGGGCCAAGGGGAGTACGATCGGGTTCTTGCGCCAGATGTCCTTGCGGGCTTTGCGGAACCCCAGCTTCCATTTTTGGGCCGTGGTGAGCGTGCGCCGAGCTGGTTGGGTGGCGAGGCTTGTGGATTGCAGGGTGAGTGGGGTCGTCATCGTCGTCGTGGCCGTCAAGCGCGGTCGGGAGGAGATGCGTGTTGTTGAGAAGGGATGGCGAGCATTCTGGGGTGTGAGGGGGCGGATTCGGAGGGCGCTGCTGGCGGCGCGCCGGGAGAGCGTGCTGAGCATTGGGGCGGTTCGTCTTCAGTATCTGTGTTGGTGTTTGATAGCAACGGAGTTATTTTGACGAGACGAGTCAAGTTATCCGTGAATCTCCTTAATTGATGGTATTTGAGGAGAGGAAGCGTGGATGTGAAAGAAGAAAGATGGTTGTATGGAGGACAAGCAGCGGAGCGGAGGTTGTCGGCGGGACGATTTTGTATGACCTAAAGCGGAATGGTCCGAGCTTCTCCTCCGCCGCCCAGCGCTGAATGACATGACGTCGCAGCTACCGTCTTTCTTCAAGGTAGCATCTCTACTTGCAATTATCGCATAATCTTCGATCTTCGATATACTCGAGGCCAAATCTAACACGGGCATAATGTGTGGACGATATGCACTAGGCGTGGTACGTGACCTCAATACAACCAGCCCCCCCCCTACCTCTACTCCATCTATACATTTATAGTTCCGAGCAAATCAGTATTCGGGCCAAGATGAGCTAACAATCCCCTCCCCAAACCAAAAGCGCATGAACTTCGTTCGACGTCGTCTCCAAGAACAGGGCATGCCCGTCGACGAAGTCCCGGACGACGACGAGGTGCGCGAAACATATAATTTCGCGCCGGGCAACAATGGCGCGGTCTACCGCGTGGACACAGCATCCATTGGCGTAGCAGAGCACGAGCCCGAGCACGAGCACGAGCAGCAGCATGGGCCACCAGAGCAAGACGACAACGAGACCCCTACTAACCCCCAACAAGACCCCACCACCACCACCACCCACCCGTCAAGTCCTGATAAGCAGAAAGTCAGCAATCGCCCCCGCTACAAAATCCAAAGTATGCGATGGGGCCTGATCCCGTTCTGGACGAAGCGCAAGCCCGACTACGGGTCGCTGATGCGCACGATCAACTGCCGGGACGACTCGCTGCTCGAGGACCGCGGGATGTGGACGTCGATGAAGCGCAAGAAGCGCTGCGTCGTCGTCTGTCAGGGGTTCTTTGAGTGGTTGAAGAAGGGACCGGGAGGAAAAGAGAAGGTGCCGCATTTTGTGCGGCGGAGGGATGGGGATCTGATGTGTTTTGCCGGGTTGTGGGATTGTGTGAGGTATGAAGGTGAGTCTCTTCTCTGCTTTTGTTGCAGGAGCCCCCGGGTTGGGGGGGGATTTGTACGTGGTTTTTTGGAGCTAATGCTAATGCGAACGGGAGAGGGGAAAGGGTCGGATGAAGAGCTCTATACGTTTACGGTCATTACAACATCCTCGAATCCGTACCTCAGGTTTCTACATGATCGGATGCCTGTGATTCTCGAGCCTAACAGCGACGCGATGAACCGGTGGCTGGATCCGGGCCGGACGACGTGGTCGAAGGAATTGCAAGCCATGTTGAAGCCGTACGAGGGCGAGTTGGAGTGTTATCAGGTGCCGAAGGAGGTTGGGAAGGTGGGGAACAACTCCCCGGACTTCATCGTGCCGGTGAGCAGTAAGGAGAACAAGAGCAATATTGCCAATTTCTTCGCCAATGCCAAAAAGGCTGCGCCGGAGAGTGGTGATGCACCGTCGAAAGAGGATTCGGACGACAAAACCGTCAAGGATGAACCGGACCATCGGGACACGGTAGACACTGAGTGGACCGAGGACAATGCTCCGCTGCCGGCTACGGGGGTCAAACGGGAGCATCCGGCAGAGAGTCCTGCGGAAGTCGAGGATGAAGCTGCGAAGAGGCAGAAGACTCAGCCTAGCCCGCCAGCCTCACCGGATCAGGGCACCGAGCAGAAAGCAAGTCCAACGCAAGCACCAAGTCGAGGAAAGCAGATGCGAAGTGCAACCCACAATCAGAAGCCGGCCAAAAAGCCCCAGCAGAAGAAAGCGGCGGCAGGGACTCAGCCCATAACGAATTTCTTTCAAAAGTGATTTTTTTTCTCATCTGGCTTGGCAGCGAAGTATATTTTGGCGTGGATTGGGTCGTCGGCAATTATGAGCTGGTCTCTGAGCGGCGTTGTTCCATTTTCCGAGTCTATTTTACAGATTGTGTCAACTGTCCAGCAGTTTTTGGATCAGTGCAGTCTTTGGAGACGGCAATGAGGATAGCAAGGGTCTATTGTACATGGTCACTACCGACGGAAAATGATCCCGTCTCCTGCTGGCGCAGCTTTTGCACCAGCTTTTCCCGCAAAAATGGGCTCAGCCCCAGACTGTTATACCCTGATTAGTTTTGGGTCCAAAATGACGGTGCTTGCATGACTTACATTCCATCCCGAGTCACCACGCGATACGTCCCTGTCGGGTTCGTCAGCTTGGGTCGGTGAAGAGCTTTTCGTATATCGGAGTACATACCGCTCGACTGGTAGTTACCGTTCCCACCCACGAAGTTTCCTTCGCCGTCGACTTCCAAGCTCCCAAAGATATCTTCGGGCCTATGTTCATTCGATCAGTCGTTGGTTTACACCACAAGCCGGACACCATCCATACCAAGCTATACGGCCATACTCAGGTGGCCGTCGGTTATCCGAAAGATGAATCCAACCACCTCTCCCAGCGGAGCCAGCGCCGCCTTGGCCACTGGCTCCGCCGCTGGAATCGCCCTCGCTGCGGCGTTTCCTCGTACGTCCCCCGGTCAAAAGCACCCCGCCGGTGCTCAAATTAGCTCCTGACGTAGACACCATGACCTGTGCTTGCGATATAGCGTCGGGGTCTTTGTGACCGTGCTCAGTCATGACATCTTGCAAAGTCTCTAGGAACTTGGGGTTCTCTTTAAACGAGTCTGGCGTCGGAGGTAGTTTGGATGAGACACCGATGGCCAGGTCGGGGTTGGTTGGCTCGGAAGGAAGCAAGGACAGTATGTTGGTGCCATTCTTGGGGAATACGTACTGTGCGAGAATGTTAGCACGAAAGAGGAACAAGAGAAGCGCAATGGCTTCTATTGAAGCTCGCGACGCTGCGCCAGTGGCTCGAAGGATGCACTTACTATGTGAGGATTGCCTTCCAAGGTCGACACGGAACGAACCTGTGCCCACTGGTGCATTTGGCGCACTGAATTCCTAAGAGCGAACATGCTGAGGGAGGAAAAAGGAATCAAGGATGATTGATCCTAGTGGTATCTTCGGACATTGAGTCGAAACAATAAATGAAGCGCAAGCTTGTACCCCGGGGCCGATGACGATTGTAGAACAAACCAGACAAACTCATGTGATTGCGCGTTTTCGGGCGGGCTGGAAGCAGCAGCTCCGCCCGCATTGAATGAATGACCTTGAAGGCAACTCGCTCAACTCACTTCCTTGTCCTTGTCAACTTAGCGGTTCTGTGGGGGATTTCTCTCCCTCCCTCCCTCTCTCTTTCCTTGCTTCCTAATTGATGATCTATTTTTGTCGAGTCACTTTCCTTGCAAATACTATTTAGGGTCGCTAAGGCCCGTTGCTTCTTCTTTTCGTTACCGGTTGCATTCCCGCGTAAAGAACGACTTGAGTCCGTATGGCTCTGCCTTAGCAAGTGTGGTTCTATTCTCTTTTGTGATACCCGGATCCAAGTTTGGCACCTCTCAGCTTGTCTTCTCTTCTTGATCGCACAAAGTGCGGACTACGATTTCTGCTCCGGCCTTGACTTCTCAAGGGAACCACAGAGAGAGAGCCTGTCATGGCGACGCCATCGTCCAAGCCGAACCCAGGAGCAACACCGACCTACCTGACTTCCTCGCCTCGTCCAGCTGGCGCGCACCCAGCCCGCCCCATCGCCCACAAGTCACCCGCGGGGAGAACCCCCTCCGTCTCCGGACCGGGCGGTCACATCCAACCCCCCAACAGCAGCAACCCCGCCAACGCCTCGGCGCACCACTATGCCACCCCGCTCGCGGCGACAACCGGGGCCGACGACCCCGTCACTCTGAGTTCGCCGTCGGCTCTGCTCGCGCTCGGTGGCTACAGCGGGATCAGCCCGTCGCCGGCCGGCCACGACGGCGGCCTGGTGGGCGCGGGGATGAACGACAGCGACATCCAGGCGCTGGGCATGCAGGGCCTGAAACTGGGCGGCGGGGGCGGCGTGCGGGACAACGACGAGGAGCGGAAGAGACACATTGAGGATGTGGTGCAGCTGCTGCGGACGCGCATCGCGGGCCGCGGGGTCTGCCGCGAGGGCATTGAGCGCCTGGGCCAGCTCGAAGGGTTCGAGTCGATCTGGCAGGAGGACAGCCTCAGCATCGCCGGCAACTTTGTGGATCTCGAAATCGAGTTCCACCGCGGCCACAATGTCGTCAAGGAGGTGAGTTTGAGCTACGTGACGCCCGAGTCGACCGACGGGGAACAGCGCGAAGAGGCGACGGCCGTGCTGAAGCGCGACCTGATCCAGTCCCCCGCGGACGGCGAGCGGGGCGCGTGGAAGCCGCTGACCGGGTTCCATGAGAACCTGCAGTGGCTGGCGCGCCATGATAGACTCAGTCAGGAGGTCAACTGCTTTGAGGCGATCGAGGGCTTGTATGAGAGCTTGACGCGCGTGTGGGAGGCGGAGTCGGATCAGCACAAGTTCTTGGGCGTCTACGATCATCTCTGCAGTGGCTGGGTCGGTCGGCCGTCTCTACACAAGGGGGGTCGCGTGGGGCTCGGCCTTGATTACTGGGTGCAGCAGGCGCGGGTCCTGGATGCGAAGCAAGCGAAGCAGAAATCCGCCTCCTCCGACGAGATGGTCGTCGATCAGCCGGCGGAGGAAGACGAGGCCGCGCGAAAGGGCAAGTGGAGCGTTGTGGTCGAGTGCGAGGAGGGATATCCATCTCTTCGCGTGTCGAAAGACTGGGTTGCCGCGGAGGTTCTGACAGCAGTCCACAATGGCGAGAATGGTCCCTCCTCGAGTGAGTCGGCCGGGTCTTCCGAGGGAGTTGTGGTCAACTGGGCCGAGCCCCCCGAAACCGTGATTGCGGCCGCGCAAAGCCACTCGGACGCCATGGCGCTCGACTCGAACATGCTGGGCTCTTCTGCGCCCAACCGCCGGTTTGTGGCCAGGATGGAACCGCCGCTGGATCTCCCCATCTTGGCGGCGTCAGATATCTACCGCCATCTCGGCATGCAGTTACCTCCGGAATTCAAGATGGTCACATACGATGGACTGTTGGCCCCTGGCTGGTCGCCATTATCGGCGGCTGGTGCGATGGGACTGGGACCTGAAGAAGCATCGCAGCTTGGTCGCAGAAGCCGTAGGCTGTCGTTGCAGACCATTGACAAAGATGGCAAGCCGTGCAAGAAACAGCATTGCTACACGTTCCAGCCATTCGAATCTGTCGCAGGTCGGACCCTGAGAGACATTCCGTTCTCGCACCCAAGACAGCTTGCAGACATACTTCCGGTACGGACCCTGTGTCGTATTGTGCTTATTATGTGGGCATACTAATGATTTCTTTGTTAGATCCTACGACAGTACGCGTTCCTGGCGAATTTGATTCGTGGCATCTTCACTACTACGCCCATGCCCGACAACGACAAACTTCATGCACAGGAAGATCTTTACAAAGGGTTCTTCAATCTCTCGAATGCCAACAGATCGCAGACGATAACCAAGGGTGACATCATTATTCTCAGCAATGACGATCCCAACGAGAAGAGGTTGAACTCATTGCTTGGAGGGTTTGGACAAGCAGGTGCTCATACCATAGGCAAGGGGAAAGGTGCTATGGACGGAAGCTCTGACGATGATTCGACCACCGAGGATGACGTCAAAGTAGACGTGACCTTGCGCACGCAGCTTGGTCAAGCCCCGGTCATCATGCTCCTGTTCACTGTGGACAACCTTCAAGGGAAACCGACACTGGATCAAGAATATTCTACGCTGAGCAAAGTCTCTGTCAGCCTTGAAGTCGGACCCAACGGTCGCGTGTCCGTCATCGACCTCACTGGTTTGTTTGATGATGAGAACACCAGTATGGATCCGATGGACACTCAAGCGAGCGGAGGCCATGACAATGAAGTATCCGAGTTGCAGAAGACCATCGCGAGGGTATTAGAAGTCTCGCAGGACTTGGGGATTCTGGTAGAGTGGGTTTTACGATGGGCCCGGCAGCGCAAGAGCCGCTGATAGCCTACCCCCCAGACCGGGGTAGGTCACGGATACGCTGCAACCACGGTGTGTGGGGAAGAATCGTCTTCAGATAGTGACCTGTCGATTGGCAATCGGACGAGGCGGTGACGTAATAGGGATGGCCATGCGTTACCTGTCCTATCTCTCTCTCTTTGTGCATGAAGGCTTGAACAAGCTTTGCTGGCCATTCTGGAAGCAGCGTTTCACCCGGTTGCTCAGATTTAGTCCCAATGCAGTGTCTGCATGGGGCGTACGGGGGCCACCAGATCCCCATTTGGCGTCTTTGATCTGCACTGGACTGGCACTCGTCTGGTGCTATCTGAGCCTAGCCGGATGTGGAAGAGACGATGCTCAGCTCAGACCCCCGAGACTTCCTCAGTGGTTCCATGTGAGATCACAGAGCTGCGTCACGTCATGTGCCATGAGATCGTGCAGCGTGGGGATTGCTCCCTCGGCCCTAGGGACCTGGACCAGCCGAGGACCAGGGGGATATGAGAGTCTCGAGCCGAACGATACCATGATTTGATATTTGCAAAATGGGCCGTCCGCTCCGGCGAAACATGATTGATTCATGGGCAATTGTACCCGCAGGACGTCGCTAGCTCTGCTCTAATATAAGACAGGATCTTACTTCCATGATACTACATACTATGTAAGCTGGAATAGTTACCCAGTCACCATCAAACCCAGGCACGCGCAACATTTCTGAAGTAATCGAGTAAGAAGCCAGAAAACCCGGCCGTAACCGAACCATGACCCCCAAACTTCTGCCCTGTGTTTGAAGGATTGAAGACCCTGAGTCGGAGGTTCCGTCCCTGGAAAGACGGCAAGACCCAATAACGGGGCAGGCTGTACGGAGTACTCCGTACGAGAGTAAAGGAAGGATAACTTACCCAGCGGTGATCTGATCTGATACCTCAGTATTTCCACGCAACTTCTGCAGAGTAGTCGACTGAACCAAACCCATCTGCCGGAAGTCGATCAGTTCTGACCCTGTAGATCCAGCCAACACTCTTTACCGTAAGTTATAGTGCTTGAAATGGGGCAGGTAGTAAGTATGAGGGATTTTCCCCCGTTTCCGTTTTCCCGCCCATCATTCCTCATCCTCCCCGGACTTTGACCACCTCCCCCAACCAGATGCAAGGGGAGAAATAGGAATGGAAATGGAAACGGAAATGAAAATGCAAGAACTTTGGGATGTGTCTAAGTTTTACCAGAGCAGTTTTGCGTCTGGAGGTGTTGGTTGGTGGCCGCCGGGTCATTTTTTCCCGCGCGCAAAAAACACTAAAGTTACTAGCTACCTAAGAAGCATGAGCTGTCAAACGATTCTTTCCCTTTTCCTTTTCCCTTTCCCTTTTTCCCTTTTCCCCCTTTGTATGATGCTCCCGAAGAAATGCGGGAATTTTTCTTTCCTGTGATTCTCTATAACTTTGAAAAACTCTTGAGCAGTTCGAGGAAATTACAGAGTCCGGTATGCAGGTGTCAAACCCTTGAAGGGGGATTGTGATTCGGATCAACTGCGCGAATTACTCTCCTTGACTTGCTTGCTTGCACTGTCCAGTAGTTACAGGAAGTGTTCATTCCTGTAGCGTTCTCCGTAGTTTGAAGTTAGTAAGTTAGTCTAATGAGTCTAAATGGGGGTCTCTGCGTAGACTACAGCTAGCTGCCTAACTATGGAGCTTTTTTTCGGTTGTAGTTGTTTTGGCCTGAAATTCGTTTTGCATACTGGGTCTACCTTACATTGTCTAGCTCTAGAGGGAGGGGCATTTTTTGAAATTGAGATTGAATAGGGCTGCTGCTGCTGCTGCTTGCTGCTGCTGCTTCTTGTGTTTCAGTTTGGTCTTGGAAGTTTGCATCGTCTTTTACTTTGTATAGGGTATGGATTTAGGATTGGGGTGTCTGTTTTGCTTACTTGGATTCATTCTTCAGGTGTAAGCTCGGTGGGAGTAACTTAGTTATCTGATGATTATCTAGGGTACTATATTGCAAAGCATGTGTATAACTTATATAACAGATACCTAGATAATTATCTACCAAACTCTACGCGTTCATGGACAACAGTGCTGTAGTTCGTTTGCTCGCTCACGTCTCGCGCCTCGCGTCGGCTGAATGAGTCACAACCACAACAGTGGTTAGAAAAAACCAAATCCAAAATCTAATACCCAAGACAAGCAAATCGGCACAGAAGTAGTCCGTAGATCGTTCCTGTTCCTGTTCCTGTTCCTATCTCCCGTATACTGTCTTCAACCCGGATAAAAGTGGGGAGGGGGACGGAAATCGAACATGGTCTGTCTGGTCTATCAGGATGAGAGCTGTCATTTCAGTAGTACCATGTACCATCCTGTACGCACGGTTAGAATACTTCGGGTCAGGCATTGTGGAGGTTCTTGTTCGTTCGTTGGTTCTTCACGGAGGTATAAGTGATGTGGCTGTTCAATTTTACTCTGTACAGGAATTGAGATTGGGTGGTTGGAAGGGTTGTTGGGTTGTTGAGGGGAGGGGAGGATAGGATATAGATCTCCGACGCGTCTTGCAGACGGAGTCACATAGGAATTGCAAATTCTATAGACGTAAGTTATTCATACAGGGTATGTTTCAACCTGCAGCGTCTGCGTCGCAGCTTACTACTCTCTAGCATGCATGTCATCCCACACCCGCTACTCCGTATACAGTCCGACATCTAGAACCTCGACCGACCACTGACTACCCAACCTTCAACCACAATCATCGTTTCCTGTATGTGTTGAGCTATTTTGCAAATTCTCCAATTCCCAAAACCACGTCCCTGTAAACCTGACCAACTGCAATATACTTAGTACTATGCTAATTCCTTCCACTATCAAAGGGATATCAGGTGTTCTTTGTTCTCTCCCCCCGTCTGGATCCATAATGAGATCCACCAGCCAAATTAGTCCTTACCCGACGGCCGGCCCGGCCATCGCACAATCAACCATCTGTAGCTCCTATCAACTTCTGCTGTACCCGCCACACGGGCTCGATTTTCTTCAGCCAAATTCGCAGAGGTTTCTCTCCTTCGCACGCAGTGAGCGAGCGCAATTCTATCCTTGCTGAGTCCCTCAGAAAGTGACTTCCTACCCCCTCAGCCTGCACAGGCTGAAATCGGCCCGACACCAGTCAGCAGCGTTTGTCATGACCCGGGGCAGGGAGCCAATCGGCAGTGGACGATAAGAGGAGACAAGGCAGCGGAGAAGGTGATTGATCAGGAGGCGGGGATCTACAGCTGGTCCCATGGCTGTGGCCATGTTTCCGATAAGCTGATTGTCTGTGGCTTTGGGCCCGGTGAGGGATTATTTCCCCATTTGTTTCCAGATGCTGCACTCGTCGCTTGAAAGGGCGCATCTCCACGACTCCACCCTTTGCTGGAAATTGACGCCATGGCTCGAGAATCGGGGTTGATTCGTGCCTGACCGCGACTACTGCCCGTTTTTGTTGGCAGTCAGATTTGCAATCCTGGATGTGTTGGTTCATTATTCATTGATCACGATAGTCCAAGTTGAGACAGGAGTGGTGTAACTGTGTACGGAGTACGGTTGCTCGTACTGCTAAGCCTCAGTTTCTTGAGCCTGCGCCACAATCAGGAGTCGCGATTTGAAACCTCTGGACATCTATTCCTGGCTTTGACCGCCTCCGCAGACGATACGGGAGCCTGTTTATAGAAACATTGTCTCGCCTTGGGCGATGCGACTATTGCCGCCATTGCGTGGAATTAAGCTATGATGCGCTGGATGAGTTGCCCATGACATCCGAGCGATCAGAAGGACGAGGCTCTCTCGTCGGGTGGAGGCCTGAAAGAACCTTGACGACATCCACAGGGCTGATCGAGGAGAACAGGAAAGGCAGCCACTCATTCTTGCCCGGATTCCTGAATCTCCCGGCTTAGCCCTGTTGCCATTTGTCGCAGAATACCCTGGGGAAGGGCAAGCCATAATGATGACGCTGATGCAGCGGGAGCCCCTCCCTTTGATCGGACACTAAGAGACTTGATGAGGGTCGCCACTAAGTACAGCACACAACTGTACTCCCCTAGAGAGAAGCGAAAAGTCTGGGGGATAGACAGGGATAGCTGGATGGATAAGGGCTTCTTCCCTCCGGAACCACCCATCTGCCATTCACCAAGAACTCTTCTCCCATGCGCGGTCACCCCGTTCACCCGTCCATTCTTCCCTTCCCCCCTTTGACTTTACCCCCGTTGCCGGTGCAAGGAACCTTTTTCCCCTTTTCTTCGCCGTCTTGCACCCAAGGCGGTGGCAGGGAACGGCAGTGACTCGGCTGATTGTTCATATTAGTCACCCGAACCCAGAAATAACTGCCGTTAACATGGAAACATGGCCGGTCTCGGGGGGTGACGACGGTGATGGTGACGCTTTCTTCGAGAATGGTTTTGCCACGCCCCACCGGACGCAAAATCTGGGTTGCCCGCGTGGTATTCGAATTACCGGCTGTCTGTACGGGCAGGCAATTCATTCCCCGGGGTAATAGCTGTCAACGAGGATAGGTAGACATTGAATCCTCAATTCCCTCCCCAAAGTTTTTCCACCACCATGTATGGGGTGGGAGATTGGATCCGATCTGTGCGCGCTGCTCCCGACACGCTACACGGAAAAATCGAGACTTGACGCGGTCGGATTCCATCCATGCGCGATTAAAATGAAAACTCTTTTTCCCTCCCATTCAGTCCGGCAGGCGCGCCAGGATCCACCCACGCGACTCATGGCGGGGTTTCGAGGGGCAGTCAGCGATAAGACATCCCTCAATTGAGATAACCGCAAGGTGCAGTTTGACCAGTACGTATTGGGGTATCTTGTGCGGCGGTAACATCCTGGTACGGATTCCTGTGATATCAAAATCGCTGCCTCGGTTTCCCTTCTTTGGTAGATTGAAGAAGAGCATGATCACTTTGATCCCAGCTCCTCGATGACAATATGGTCTCACTCCAGCCACATGTACAGTATCGTTTGCGATAAGGCAACGGAAGATAGGACGCGGCAACCTGAGTGTCCTCTCAGGTGCTTCCTATCAAGTATCAACTCTATCCTATCCATGCCATGGCGCTCTGCCAATAATAACCCCGGTCATTGCGATTAGGCGCAAGTCACGTCCGAGCTATTTGGGTCCTGCAGCTGATATGCATGGGGACTGACGTTTACTTGATATTGATAATGGGGTTTAGCAACCGTTTCGTGTTGCTATCTTTCAGCCACCAGGGATAGGAAGGTTAGCAAAAAGAAGGCAGACGAAGAGTTGACAATGTCACAGCCGTGATGATGGAGGGGGAGGGAAAGGAAGTCAAGAAATAACTACTGGTCAGCCGACATGGAAAGAGGTGCGGCCTGCCAATTATCAGGTCTGATAGTACTTTCGGTGTTTCTGTGCTTGTGTGCTTCTTGTCTGTCTGATAGGGATGGATGGATCCAGGTCTGAACCCAGATCACCACCGCGTGGGGGGGGGGGGGGGGGGGCCAGCATCGAAGATGATCCATCTGGGGAAGCCCAACCGTTTCCGGCCTCCATTGGAATGATGATATGGTGACTACCGGTAGGTAGTAGGTACAATACTAGCCTGACCTGGTTTATCATTATCATCGAGAGGACTTACCTATCAGAAAGCAGGAAGATAGGATTACATTGCGAGGAAGATACCTATGGAGTATAGTAGTAGTGTGGGAGGTTAGATTAATGGCGTGTGACAGGCAGTTTCTTCCTTTCGATAGCTTCAATTGCGCATCGAGATTACCCGTTCGGGTAATATCCGTGCTGGACTGACTGACCGCTGCATCCTAACAGTAACTTTAGTTCGAAAAGTCTATCAAACGGCGAGTCGCAATTGCCTACGAACACTACTAGTTAGTTAATGGCAGTCATGGTTAATTTACAAAACCTTTAACGATGATGGGCTGACTGACATGACTACGACGACTGCCAGCGTAGGTAATCTTGACATCGTGACATCGGAAAGAGTGAGTGGTCGAGGCTGGCCCATTGATAGAATGCGGGCGCAGTTCTGGTGGCGTCCCCGAGCCCTGGTCAATCCTGCAGCCTTGGTTGCAGTATGCTATTAAAGATGTGTTCCATCTCTGAAAGCTGTTGAATCTGTAGGACTGGTTACAGAATGAAAGAAAACATTGTAGAGAAAGTAAGAAAGACAAGACGATTCCTTATTGATGCGCATCTCCAGTTGCAAGAGTTGCAAGTGTTGCAAGTGCGAGAAAGAGCATCGTGAATGGAGTGATAAATTACCAGGTCCCAAGACCGTGCCCAACCGGAACGGTAATTTTCAGTACAGCTAGGTTTATTTTTGAACTTTTTCTTCCCAGAATGGAAGTGGAAGTGGGTGGGACTGGGTCTTTTTTGGGAATGGATTTTTTGCCTCTCTCTCTCTCTCACACTTCCACTCTTTGCCGGTAGCCCCAGGCCCGGCCGACCACAGGTTTTGATTGAATGAATCAATGAAATGATTAAATCGGTTTAGAAATTCAGAAAATCAGAAATTCAGAAATTCAGAACATGGAAAAAAAAGACGCGCCCGCCGCCTTTTCTCCCTCCTTCCCGAAAGAAAAACCTATTCTCTTAAATTTAAAGGATATCCTCCCCCCACCCAAACTCCCGTTGTGACTTACTTTCTCCATTCTCATCCCATCATCTCCTCTCCGCCATACTTTATCATCTCTCCCTCCCCCATCCTTTACTCTCTCTCTCTCTATTTTCAAGAGCAACTTTTGATCCTTCCGCCGCTCTCGTTATAAATCGCACTACATCAATCTTTTGATTGTCCTGTTTGTGTCGTTCGACTGCGATCTGAACAACCCAAGTCTACGAGCTTCGCACCTGCAAGCTTAATCGCTAAAAAGCATCCTTTTGTTTTCTATCTTTCACACACAACCACACACACATTCACAATGGTACGCATCCCTTAAGTTGGTTTGGCAACTGCCCCGGTCATTCTTGGTCCGAATGCATTCTCTGCAGCGACAAGAACTGCGCGCTGACTCATACTCTCTCCCACTGCAGGCTGAATCAACCACCATCTCCAACACGGAGAATGTGCGTTCTTGTCTCATTGCTACCTTGCAAGATGTTTCTTGAACCGCATTGCGGTTTTAAGGAAATCTTATACTGACTGATGCGCTGGCAACAGCTCATGAAGTACATGTCCCTCGACCAGCGGGGTAACGTCCAGGCTGAGTACATCTGGATCGATGCCACCGGTGGCACTCGTTCCAAGACCAGGGTACGCCTCCCCTTTTTCTCATGTCCCTTCACTCTTGCCATTGCAGGTGGCGCAGCGTGTGGGTTGGATCGCGCGGGATGCGGAGAGAATGGCTGCTGTTATCTAGAGGGATGGAGGGATTCCTGCTCCCGATAAGCCCTGCGCACGGGGATCCGACCCTGCACGCCCGCCCTGCAATCCACCTGCATTAGTCTCACGTGATTCATCGACTCATCCACGGAATTATGACTAATCATTGCATCTTCCCCCACAGACTCTGTCCAAGTCCCCCAAGTCCGTTGATGAACTGCCCGAATGGAACTTCGACGGCTCCTCCACCGGCCAGGCCCCCGGTGACAACTCCGATGTCTACCTCCGCCCCGTTGCTATCTACCCCGACCCCTTCCGTCTCGGTGACAACATCCTCGTCCTTTGCGAGACCTGGGACTCCGATGGAACCCCCAACAAGTTCAACCACCGCCACGAGGCTGCCCGTCTGATGGAGGCCAACGCCAAGGAGGAGTTCTGGTTCGGTCTCGAACAGGAGTACACCCTCCTCGGTACCGATGGCTGGCCCTACGGCTGGCCCAAGGGTGGTTTCCCCGGTGCCCAGGGCCCCTACTACTGTGGTGTCGGTACTGGCAAGGTCTACTGCCGTGACATCGTCGAGGCTCACTACCGTGCATGCTTGTACGCTGGTATCAAGATCTCCGGTATCAACGCCGAGGTCATGCCTTCCCAATGGGAGTACCAGGTCGGCCCTTGCCAGGGTATTGACAGTGAGTATTCCGTCCTGTTGCAGTCGCGATCATCACGTACTAATCTCTTTCGCAGTGGGTGACGAGCTCTGGATGTCCCGCTTCCTCCTCCACCGTGTCGCAGAAGAGTTCGGCGTCAGAATCTCCTTCGAGCCCAAGCCCATCAAGGGTGAATGGAACGGAGCCGGTCTCCACACCAACGTCTCGACCGCCTCCACTCGTGCTGACGGTGGCATGAAGGCTATTGAGTCCTACATGAAGAAGCTCGAGGCCCGCCACGTTGAGCACATTGCCGTTTACGGTGAGGGTAACGAGGAGCGCCTGACTGGTCGTCACGAGACCGGCAACATTGACAAGTTCAGCTACGGTGTTGCCGACCGTGGTGGCTCCATCCGTATCCCCCGCCAGGTCGCCAAGGACGGCAAGGGTTACTTCGAGGACCGCCGTCCCGCCAGTAACGCCTGCCCCTACCAAATTACTGGTATCATCGTGGAGACTCTTTGCGGTGGCAACTAAGTGCGTCTAGCACATTTACTCCAAATGTGAAAAACATTTCATCTTAGCGCTCGTATACCCTCCGGCTTCGACATGGAGTCAGATTGCGATGCAGCCTGGTCATGGGAGAGCAAACTATAGAATTTCTCTTCTTCTTTTCTCTCTTCATGATGGTACTTCGGAGTTTCTTTCGAACCCTCTCTCGTGTGCCAGCGCCTGTTGATGCATTCGTTGTCCTGTTGCTGGTCTTGCATGTTTCTTTCTTACCTTGGGTTATGTGTTACGTATGGCATAGAGGACTGATACTCGGAGGAGAACCGACGACGGTCTTTTTGAAATTGAAACTGGGGATGAAACTGGAAGGATCAAATAGCTTTGAGGCCGGAACCACGGTCAGTATTATAGTGTTCAAATAATCAATCGTTACGAATAAGCACATCCTCAGGATGTGAACATGTCAAATCTTCTTTGCCCTCGGCTCTACTTGCGCCTAGACCATATAGACTGTTTTCGGTGCAATCTCAACATTTGCAATAGGATACTAAAAATTAGATACAAAGATTTATAAGTTATATCCATATTCACAACTCGGCAGTCCATACGATTCCCGTCCAGCCATCCATGTGAGTGCCTTACAAGGCTCGATGTCTGAACATCTTTCTTTTGCATGCCCAAGGCCCATGCATCAGCCATCACCATAAACACCGTCATCATCATCCGCATCATCAACCACCCCGCTTAAAGACCTTGAACAACCCGGCCCCCAACCCATCCAGACCCCTCTGCCTGGCCTCGCGTCTGGCCGCCCCATCCGCAGCCACCGCCGCACCACCGCCTTCCTTATCCCCATTCTTCTTCCCATCCACGACGCGCAGCAGCACCTCCATGGTGACAGCCGCCAGGATACTGGCGCACAGGATACCGACCATGACGAGGTTACTCTTGCGGTACTTGGCGCGGCCGGGGGCCTCGTAATCGCTCTTCCAGCCCGAATACAGGGCGTAGGTGGTCATGATGCTCCCCAGATTGCCGAGCCCGGAGACGACGGCGGAGGCGGCGGCGACGCCGACCTCGCCGTGACGCGGCTGGAAGATCTCCGTCGTCCAGGTCATGGTGATGGGCACGGTGGGGCCCAGGCCGAAGCCCACGATCAGCAGCCCCCCGTACCGGGGCCAGGAGTTGGTCGCCGTGCCGGCGTAGGTGGTCAGCAGGAGGCCTAGGATCTGTAGGAGGACTGGGACGGAGAAGAAGAGGGAACGGTGGCGGTGGAAGCGGTCGCTGATCGGGGTGACGAGGAGGATGGCGATTAGGTCCATCTTTTTTCGGGGGGTTAGTTTTAGAGTGTTATGGGGTTATGGGGTCATGGGGTTATGGGGATGGGGGAGCATACAATCCATATCGGCGCAGTCAGGAGACTGAGATCAATCCCGTTCAGCGAAGGGTTGATGCTCTGGATGATGACCGTGGCGTAACTCTGCGTGCCGATGCCCACGCCCACGACGCCAAAGTACATGATCAGCAGCGGCCACAGGCGCCAGTCCAGGAATACGTTCAGCAGGTCCTTCCATGTCCACTGCGCGCGGTGGTACACGCGCTTGAGGTCGTGGTAGTGGATCTCTGCGTCGCGGCCGCTCAACGCCGGCGGGCTGCGCGGGAACCACCACATGTACTTCCGCTTCTTGGGCTCCGCGCCGGGCGCGAGCGGCCGGTCCGGCAGCCACCACAGGAGTAAAAAGCCGACCGCGGTGGTGATCACCCCGTAGACCAGGAACATCCATTGGAACCCGACCAGGCCGCGCTCGCCGTCCATCTTCTGGAACCCGGCCGAGACCAGACCGACGACGGCGGCGGAGACCTGGGCGGCCGTGTAGTACTGGCCGATGCGTTTGCCGGTGCGGGAGGGAGGGTAGAACAGGGTGAGGTAGTAGGTCATGCCGGGCCACATGCCCGCGATGACAATTCCTAGGAGCAGACGGAGGAGGCTGATTTACAAATGTGATTAGTGACTGGTTAGGGCTAGGGACCAGGCAAAGAGCGGGGCATGAACCACATACTATAAACTCCAGGCGGCCTTCATAGCCGTCATGCAGCTCCCGATAATCCCCACACTGATGACAATCCGACTCATCCAGACATGGGGACTCAGACGGGTCATGATCAGGTTGGAGGGCAAGTCGAAGATCACATAGCAGACGTAGAACAGTGCGAGAGCGGTGGAAATCTGGTGTGGCGACATGTTCAGCACCGAGCCCAGATCATGCCCCGAGCTCTCGTTCATGGTTTGCGCGAGGCCGACATTGGAGCGCACCGCCGCGCAGAGGAAGTAGAGCACCCAGAATGCGGGAATGATGCGGAAGTCTAGCTTTCTGCAAGGGGTTCGATTTGAGTTAGCATGTCATGTCATGTTATGTCAGACGATGCAGGATAGCAAACACACTAGTACAACTAGTTCGACGAGCTACCCAACTCACCTATAGATGCGCTCGATCTCGGCAAGGTCAGCCTCGGACTCGGGCTCACTGCCCGTCTCTAGGTCATTTTCACCCTCCCGACTGTCGAGCGATCGTTCGTGAATGCTCTCTGTGTTGGGTTGTTTGGTCACCCCGTGGGGGTGGTCGGGGTTGGACTCTGCGAGGGACATCGTGGCGGAGGGGGCCACTTTGGGACGGTTGATCCTTGTTGAGGACCAGGGAATCGAAGCAGTAGTGGCGCGCGGTCGATGCCACTAGTAAGAATGCTTACTCTAGAATGCACGTGCAAGGATAAGATTGTTTGTCGGCGGTAGAGGTGATGAAGAATTCAGACAGGAAGAGATGGTGGTTTGGTTTGGCCACGAGGGGAGAAAGAGTTGGGAACCCCGCACTTTTTATTCTCGGGGTCGGGGGAGCGATAGCAGACAGAGATCGGAGTGTCCGGTGAGAAGATGGCAGTGATCAGCCCTGGAATGGAGTCGGAGATGGTCAGTTCTTGGTCTGTCTGAAGGCTACTGTGATTGGGTTTGGCAAAGGAGGGGAGGGAGGAGATGCAGCTCGAGCACGAATAAACTTGCGATAACGCTGGGAATGTAGTGGGGAGGCGCAGACAACGTACCTGCAGTGCGACGGTCATGATGACAAAAAAGAGGCGAGGCAAACGCTTTTAATTAAAGCAAGGGGAGAAAGGGTAAGATGATAACACCTGCAGGAGACACAGAAAAGAAAAAAGCTTGGTGAAAGCCGAGGAAAAAGCAAAAAGGCAGGCGAAAAGTCAATGGAATTTGCATGTATCATTAACTAATTGATTGATTGATTGATTGATAAAAGTGTGTACTTCCGTAAAAGGATAAAAGAGGGACCTGCCGGAGGAACCATTGGCCCGGTTGGTTCCAGACCCTCTTCGATGCTGTGCTTCTCTACTTCTTCTTACTCTTGAATTACTCCCTATTCTACCTGGTAACTGCTCTAAACAGTAGGTCTTACAGACAACCTTGAAACCTACGTGACAATTCTGCTCAATGTATTCCCCGGAAAAAAGCATTGCCAGTTTTCTTCCTTTGGCCCTCGGACGGGTAGAAACGGGGCTGCTGGTTGACTTCAGCTTCTTTCCTCAACTGCTGCTCCCGAACTTTCTAGTTCAACGTTAATTCAACCTCAGTGACTCACTCTGTCGACCTGCAGAAACATCCGATACCGGAGGTAAACCAGCCGTGAATGAAGAGAATAGGGATCTTCATCCATCTGTTCATAGACACTTTGCACGGCGACAGTCGGTGACTCAATCCATCAGACCGGTGTGAACTTCCCCTCCCCTCTTTTTTTTGTTGCCATCAGCCATGGCGGTTCCCACTTGTTGAGTGCGACACATGCGATCGAGGCCCACCGCGGAGGTCCCAACACCCACTCCCCCCACTGCTTCCCATGTCTCAACTGCCGGACAAGAAACGTTCTTTTTGAATGGGATCGAGCCAGCCTCTCACACTCAACCAAATAGAGCTTCAACGACGAGATTTGGCTGTGCAGGCATATGTGTAGATGATCATTCTGCTTTGCAGCCGGGACCTTCCCGGTATCAGCAACATCCTTGCCACACAAGTTTTCTATGCTTCTATGTAGTCGGCGCATAGATTCTCAGTGACAGTTGTAAAACAATGCCTGGTCCTAGACCTTTGATCATGATGGATCGGAGAACATTGAGATGGTGAGAAGTGGCATAACTGGCAACGGTGACTGGTAGTGTACACTCTCGACCACTTGTTTCTCACAGTTCCTGGCTAATAAAGTGTCATTAATGAGAATATAGATAGATGCTCACAAAGTGTAAGTCCCGGTTTGAAAAAGATCAGCAAGCCTTGACAGGTGCTTGGTTCAATTCCTTATTGCTGGGGCCCGCCATCTTTTGAGATTGCTAAGTGTATGGCGGACTTGCATGATTGGCCACTGCAAGAGTATGCATCCAGTCAGACTGGGAGCCCTCGTTAACGAGTACTCGCCGCAGCGACGAGAAACGTGATGATGTTGCTACGCAAGCAATGAAAAACTCGGCGCTGCTCTCCACATAGAGAGTCAGCTGCAATTTGGCTTAAGATCCTCAGAAGTTGAGGTTGGAATCGTGCATAAGACGGTTGCATATGACATGTGGCAGCCATCCTGGTCTGAAGGCCATGCCAAGGTGACGGTTGCGCTCACTGGAATACTAGGGACTGGCCACTACCAGTCTGCGTTGGCCTGTAGCTTGAGAGTACTTGCACTCACGTGAAAGAGTCAGGCACTATGCGAGGGCGTCTTAATAGCACGTGACACGCACTGCCTGATGAGGAAGAACTACAAAATGTACGCGAGATACCAATCATCTGGCAAGGAACAAGGCCCGGGCCATCTTCATTCAAGCACCACGTCTAGTCGTATAGCATCGTCCATCAGGGGTATATTGAGAAACGTCAATCGGGCGCCAAGGCCCCAACGCAGAAGAAAAGCAAATCAAATCGTGTAGTCGTCAAGGCGCGTCGAAGCATAACAAGCAAACATGATCGGAGCGATCCGCGCAGATTCGATGGCCGATCATTCTAGATCTTCTCGGTGCTAGCCACATCATCGCTATCCTTATCGGCGTCCTTAATGGAGTGACTCAGCACGCTCGTGCGACGCACCGCATCATCCTCCTCGTCGTCTAGCGTCCGCAGCAGCTCACCGCGGGGGCCGTACATGTGAGGTTCCTCGTTGGCAACCTTCACCACTTGGAAGATACTCTTGGTTTTCCGGAAAATGCGGTCCATCTCTTCAAGTGACCGGCACGCAGTCTCAGGGTAGAAGAAGAGCACCACGGGGAAGATGAATGCGTTACTAATCACGAGTCAGTCAGTTCGGCGGCCTCGACGCATGCAGGTGGCGGCAAGGGGTGTACTTACATGACGGCAAAGATAATGTAGGTCTGGTACCCAATGTTGTCGAATGCCACTGGGGTGATCATCACCACCATGAAGTTGAAGATCCAGTTGGACGACGTGGCCAGTGCGTTTGCCGGAGCCCGAATCTTGAGAGGAACCACCTCGGCTGGATACAACCAGGTCATGCCCAACCAACCGATGGCGAAGAATGTGTTAAAGATGAACAAGAACACGACAACAGTCACCTTGGCCCCGTTCGTATCGAGACTGGCACATACCGCCAGAATGACCATGGAAATGGACATACCCGCGGCACCGAACAGCATCAGCTGCCGCCGTCCAAATTTCTCGATGGTGAAGACGGCAATCCAAGACGCAAGGAAGTATTCCGTTCCATTGCAAGCTGCAATCAGTCGTGACATTTCCAGGCTCATTCCAAGCTGGTTTTCGAGGACAATAGAACAGTAATAGGTGATCAGATTGATACCTTGATTATGTCATTAGCGAGTGCATTCGAACACCCAAATGCCATAGACAACGTACCTGAAATCTGCTGGAACATCTGGTTGACATAGGCCAGTACCACGCGGTGGAAGTGACGATCCTCAGTCATGGTAAACATGTCGCGGAAAGAGCCCTTGGCCATCTCCAAAACAGTGGCTTTGATTTGTGCGAACTCGGTCTCGATGAAAGTCTCGTCGTGCTTTCCATTCAAGGAGTAAAGCACTTCACGCGCCTCATCTTCACGGCCCTTCAAGATGAGCCAGCGAGGTGATTCCGGGAGGAACATAACGAAAGCTAGAATGATCAGAGCGAAAAAGATCTGGAAGGCGAGGGGAAACCGCCAAGCCACCTCGCTGGGGTCGGCGAACAGCAGGCCAAAGTCGATCCAGTAGCTGATGGTGATGCCGCAGGTGATCATGGCGCCTTCGATCATAACTAGCTGGCCGCGGCGGTTCGATTTACAGCATTCAGATTGCCATGTAGGCACCGTTGAGGTGTTCATGCCATTTCCTGAACAGTAAGATCAGCTCCAGACTCGGTATTTTCCTGCAGAGACCTCCCAATCACCTACCGAAGCCAGTCACTAGACGTCCGACAATGAACTGGGCTAGATCGTAGGAGGTACATTGCAGCAGTGCACCAACAACCATGATAGCCGAGCCGACAAAGATTGTCTTCCGTCGACCCAGCCAATTGCCAATCCATATTGTCGGAATCGAGCCCGCAAAACATCCCAAGTTGTAAGCTGCGACAACAATACCTATAATGGGTCAGGAGAACGTTGCTTAATCGGATAAGCCTAGCGCGCTCTCACCTTGGCGAGTGGACTGAGCAGATCTCGCACTTGAGCTTAAGTTTTCATAGTAAGACCCACTGGTCGAGATGGTAGGGAAGTATTTGATGAATGAATCGAGGGTCAGGAGACCACCAGTGACACCCTGGTCGTATCCGAAGAGCAAGAAATCCAAACCAGCAATCAAACTGATCGCGATCTGCAACTTGCCTCCTGTGAGGCCCAAGTAGCTACGCGCCATCTTGGTGAAATGAATTCCTTTCGCTGATGACGACTTTCTAGGAAATTGATGATACGGATTTGTGGGGGTGAGGGAAGAATTGGATCCAAGTTCAAGTCGGTGAAGATCTAGAATTCATGGAACGGACGGGGAGGTATAAAGAAAGGAGAAGATCGAGTGAAAGGCACAATAATCAAAGAAAAGAAAGATCATCTCGACAGTTGCAGGGGCGATGGATGGGATTTTAAACCAGCAAGAGGCATGGGACAAATTGGCTCTGACGGGCTGCGGTCATAATTACCGGCGCATGGAAAATTAAACCCAAGGGCTGGATACCTTAGATAGACTGGTCTTGGAAGTGCTTCGAGGTACCGATAATTTTGCCAATTGAGACTTGATTGGATAACGTGGTACTCCTGGTCGCACTCTCCAGACAACAACAATTGAAGTATGCAGTAATCTGTACTGCACGGTTGTACTGTACCTCCTAGGGAAAAGTGGATCCGGGCTGGAGGTCAGATGCACTAGGACCATTCGCTAGTGGAGGAAACCGGGGTTCTCATCCATCTCAAGCAAGACATCCATTCATTGTTAGGCCTTCAAAGGGTGGTGGGGCATTGATTCAGACGGACGAAAACGATCAAGATGCTGGTATGCAAGAGCGTGATTGGTCTAGGCCAAAATGGATCCCAGTTGGGATCATAGAAGATGGTGCATTTTCCCCGTCTGCTGCGATGACTGACTGACAGACTGACTAACGAACTGTCTGTCTAGGTCTCTCAGCTCATACCTTCCCCTTGTTTACCCCTCGCCAGAGGCGAAGAGACGGAAAGGCCAAAAGGTGAGACTGAATCGGTGGGTTCATTCCACAACTTAGTCGAGGAAGATGTTGGCAGAGAGTGAAATGGCAGACCATCAGGTCGCGCGGGCGGTGCAGTGATCGGCGGGGAGCGGCTTGATCAGGCTTGGTTAGTGCCAGGCGGGGAATCAACGAGTGAGAGCACTGGACTGTTCAAGGTTGGTGCGCATGTAAGACTAAGTTAGTTGACTTACTGGTTAGTAGTTACGGAGTAGTACTGTAGAAATAGCATCAAGTCAATTTGCATGCCGTCATCACAGCCCTGGGAGCTGGAAACGTTGTCTGTCTAGCTGTTTTTGGTCAATCCGAACAAACTTGACTTTGGAAGAAGTAGTCGGGCAAGTAGCGGGCCACCGACCGACCGCCATGTTGTGTTAATTTTAATGACTGACCACCTGTATACGTTACAGTGCCAAATAATCCCTCGGAGCGTTCAGTAGGAATCAGAAAGAGAGAAAAGAAGGCTTCGATGCAGCAACGCCGATCGGAGAGGGTGTCACCTTCTCTCGTTGTTTCCATCCGCGTGGTTCAAAAGCAGGAAAAGGCCAACGATCGGGGCTCTAATCGTCATTTCCCTGCTCTGTTGACCAGTGTCCACTCACAGGGTTCAACTTATGTTACGCCGTAAGGTGCCATGAATCATGATACCCACCGTGGATCTCCTCTCACCCCTCTTCCCCTCAATTCGGGACTCGGGATGATTGCTGAGGAGTGAAGGTCGGACTGATTATTCAGAATCCGGGGGGTCTGGAGAACTCCGCAAAGCCCTGAGGCACTCTTACTTTACCACTTTGGGAAAAGATCCAAAAGGGCCTCGGCTCGATCCGCCTCGTGGCTGTCGATTCTGTTTTCTGAATCTCTTCTCCCTTGCTTCGCCAACACTTGAATTCCAACCAAGGAGGGGCAAATTTTGATTGATGGCCTAGAACCACTCATTCTCTTCTGATTCTGATAGTGACCAAAACCTACAGCGAAGCATTTGGTATGCGACGGAGGCTCATGCAGGCGACCGGCTGTCTTATGCTGGTCCCGTAATATTATCGTCGACAGAACACTCAAGCCCGTCTCATTACTGACTAGTCCCGATCGGATTATCTCCAAGCCGACCTGACCTGTCTCTGTTGTCGATTTCAGTCGGCGAATATAATCCAGCATCAGTTATTCTGTTACACTCGTTCACCACATGCGCTCCAATCGCAGTGAGGACGGAGCTCCACCCGGGCCACCCAGGATGCCGCTTAGTGAGAGCCTGTTTTAAACAACGGACCAACCGCAAGTAACAATGTCGCCTCATCAGTTGGCGTGAGATTAACCTGGAATCAGCCAACAGCATCATACTTTACCTGGGAATTGGAAAGAGGAAGGTATGGCTTGACCCGAATGAGATCAGACGGGTCCCCCGTGTGGGCGCCCCCAGTTGAGGCCGCCCGGTCCTGCCGATGATGCTGGAACAATTGCCCAGATGGGCCGAAAGCCCGGCCTCCGAAGCATCGGCCAAACTTATGCAAAAGCAGTCAGTGCCACGGCACCTTCGAATTTCTCAAATAACACCTCCAAAATTATCCAGTGGCACATCTCAGTTATCTAGTGCTCACCATATATCCTAAAACTCTCGAGGATGCAACCGACACAATTGGTATGTGTGCCTCAAAACCAATTGATCATGGCCGCCGACTTGACGGGTAAAGGGACGGCAAGTTAGTCTTCGCAACCCGCGCCTCTGACTGGCCATCGATGATCATAGGCCAAAGCCACCATTCCTCAATTCTGGTACCGTTGCAAAAAGCGCGCACGCTTGGAGAGGAGCCATGCTCATGTAGCCCCATTTTAGCCAGCTCAAGTTGACTTGCCAAGAGAGACCGCGGTCAGGGCACTTTCCCCCACCTCCACAGTCGAACCATTCGGTTGTGGCCGACCCAGTCCTCCCCATCCATGCGTTACCTCGGGTTACCCAATTCGGACAACCCGAAACCTGGGGATAATCGCAACCACCCTCCATGAATTGGCCGGTCTTACTCCGCATCTTACGCAGCCTATCTGGAGTCAGCTCTTGTTGATCGTTCATCCGTCATGCACCCTAGACTTATCCCTCCCCATACAGTCACAGCTTCTTCGTCAAGTCCAGAAATTGTGGTTGCATGGACCTCCTGCATGATTAGTCACTGTGCATCCACCTAATAACTAATTTTTAACAAACATATGCATAGTACGCCGGAGTTCAGTTTCTGAACTACCAACTAGCATGGGACGACTCTCCTTACCTATCCAAGACCCAAGAGCACGGTTCAAACAATTGCTTCGCCGTGTTACACCCGATTGAGAGCCGGAGCGGATGGAGACATGACATGATGTGTTCTTGCTGGCTATAATATTCACACAATTCATGAGATTCGCAACCAGCAAAAATACTTTCTTAGTAGATTCCTATCTGTCTATTTGGAAACCGGATAAAACCTTTTCGTACTCGCATGTTGGGCCAACCTTCGTAAGTGTTTCCCCTTCCACTTTCTATGTAGAGCATGCGTCACAATTTCTGCAAACTCGCACTATAGAACCAGCTACACAACCGCACAAAACCCCTGGTGGAGCGCGCCAAGTCTGCTATCCTTTAGCCCTTGACGCGGCGGTCCTGGTTTTGGCTCAGGTTTTCCTGCTCGTAGGCATCGTGACTTGCGATGAGTAATGCCCCGTGTGTGGACGAGGGTTTCAAGCAAGCATTCAGGAGATCAACAAAGAATATCATTATTTCATGCCGCATGCATTGTTTGTTTTGGTTCTCAAGATACAAAGTATCTTGTTGCCTCGAGAGGTCACGATAAACTTCTTCGTCCCTGAGCCTTATTCGACGAGTGACCCTCTGTACGGTCAGCCACCGAGCTAAGTGGCTTGATCAGAGTTCTCCATGGAGGGTTTCTGGATGTTTTACTATATTGAAGGTGTGAGACCGAAAGGGTCGGTGCGGGATGGAGTGTGACGTCATTCAATACCCCACGTCGCGGCAACGGACCGAGGCAAGGTGTTAACTGTTCGGCCTCATTGATTACTCAACTCGCTGCATGCATAAGTTGGATGTAGTTACTGTACATAGGAGGAATCCCATTGTCAGCTTGGTCGGAGAGAAAAGATCTAGACTTGAAACAAGGATGGGCAGCAGGCAATCTGAGATCTTTGAAAAGACAATAGCAGAGAGCTTTACAACAAGCAAGGTTGCTACTTACCACCACTGTCTATAGAGGCGATACCATGTTCAATAACCCATAGACATATCAAGTCTCCAGAAAGGTATCTTAGCCCCAGGACCCTACTTTTGTAAACGGAATCACCGGGTCAGATGCTCCTTTTCGAATCTGTATACTATGGAACAAGTCGTGGAAGTAGCATTCTGTAGGTGTGTTGAGTTCTTTCCCTACGAGAATTGCCCCTTCCTCATATGGATGCTTTGAGACTCACTTGTCTATACAATCCTTTTTCTCAATCTCGTACTCGATTTTCCCCAACTCACCCACTCTCTCATGACTTACCCCTCCATTACACACTCATCATATCGATTCATCCATCATGTTCCACTTTATCACTTTGCTCACGCTCATCCTCACGTTGTTGCAGTCATTCGGACAGGCGGTGCCGCTGACCGACTGCAACGATGAATACTGTGTCATGACGCGTGCAGAATTGACACCTCTCGAGATACAACTCGAGCTCGGCCCACAACTCTGCGGATCCTCTTATATCTTTGGCCCGGATGATCCTCGATGGCCACAGCGAGTGATCAGGTTTCAGGAGTATATGGCCCCGCAATTCACCGTCTGGGTTCAGGTCGGCTGTGAAGATGATATTTCTACAGTGGTAAGTATTTTGTTTTCCTTTTCTCGCTTGCAACATCCCTTGACTGACCTGGAAAAGGTTCAATATGCCTATCAAAATGGCATTCCTTTCTACACGGTCAACCGCGGCTATGGATTGCCAAAATCGCAAGGGAAGTTCCGGGGTATGGCCATTGATGTCCAGCTCTTGACCGACGTCGTGGTGGATCGAGAGAGACAGATTGCGCGTGTATCGGCAGGAACAGCCACCCAGGAATTGATCGACGCGCTGTGGAAAGAAGGTTATGTTACAGGTCCGTCACAGCCATTTCTGTCGCATCATCAATTCATATGGCTAAACTGTCTTCTCTACTAGTTACCGGAGCCAGCTCGTGTGCAGGCATAGTTGGACAGGCTCTTGGGGGCGGCCACGGAAGGTACAAAACGCGCTATGGCCTGATGCTCGACAACATGGTTCGACTGAATGTCGTGCTGGCCAATGGAACTACAGTTGTAGTCTCGGACGACAGCCATGAGGACCTGTTTTGGGCCATGAAGGGTGCCGGACACAATTTCGGAATAGTGACCAGCTACGAGATGAAGATCTATCCGCATGAGGAGGATACTTGGTACTTTCGAAATTACGTGTTCACGCAAGATAAGCTGGAGCCCTTTTTCGAGCAACTGAACAAAGTAGTAGCTCGCAACGGGTCGCAACCGGTGGAAATGGACGTTGATTATGGCCATTTTGAATTCAACCCATTGTTCAGCGACACTGACGTGAGCTGAGTATCTCTGTTATACCTCTGACTCAATTTCTGACGTCTACCAGGTGGTTCTCTACTGGACCTTCAACTATGCTGGTCCGCAGATCGATGCAGAGAAGTACCTGGCTCCATTTGATGCTATCGGCCCGATAAATGTCACCGACGGAACTGTGCCCTACCCTGACATGCCCCTGGCTTCAAGAAATGGTAACCTCGACTCAACTTGTGCGAAAGGATTTGCAAAGAAGGCATCTACCGTTGGGCTGCAAGTCTATAACACATCTGCATGCCGCCAGGTCTATGATCTCTTCGATGCCAGGCTGAAGAAGTATACGGAACTCCGGCCAGCATCTTTTGTCTTGTTCGAAGGATACTCCGTCCAAGCTGTCAAGGCGATTGACCCAGCGACTTCGGCTTTCCCGCACCGCCATGATTATATCAATCAGTACGGCCTTTCATGTCTCGTATCTGAGCTTAATGTTCCTAGAGGGTGAAAGCTGACATCATCGTCATACAGAATTACCACAATGACGCATGCTCCGAATTCCAATCTTGATGAGCCGGCAATGCAGCTTGCTCATGATATTCGTGAACTCTTTATCGATGGCCAGCCAGACCGGCTACCCAGTGCACATGTCATTTATGCATTTGGTGACGAGCCCCTAGAACAGGTTTATGGGTACGAGCCATGGCGTCTGGAGAAGCTCTGGGCTCTCAAGGCTATATATGACCCGACCAACCAGTTCGCCTATCATGTGCCTGTTATTCCTCTGGAATGAGAGACTCTCCCGAGGCCTTCAAGATGTGTTTATTCTTGCTGTTGATGTAAGCTAAGAGGGACGAGGTATTGTTACGCTTATTCATTGCAATTGAACTACTGTTTAAGTATTTCCCAGTGCATTGTCAATGCAGTAGCAGTAGCCCTACACAGATTTCAACTCTCTTTTCGCCTCATTGGCGAAGATTGCAAGGTCACAAGACGCGACTATTGTCATCTTAGTTCGGTCCCTTGTCAGAATCAACTTCTTTTGTGTTGCATTTTCTGGTGATAATACAAAGCGTCGATCACTTCATGTGCATTATGATTAAATATGCTCGATGTGCTTTAAACAAGCTGGCATGCAGGCAGCAAGTCACGACAGTTGAAGCCTAGTCTTGGGTCGTATCTATTTTAAGATGGCTTGACCCGAAGGCTCAGGTCGTCACTGTACCCCTTGCTGCCTGCAAGGGTCGAAGCTCAGACCGGACAGTATGACTGAGGAGCAGTCTCCAGAAGACGGTGCTACTCACCAACTGCAAGGGGGAGTCGCAGTCCCGGGTTGAGCTTGTCATTTTCCCATGTGGCAATGATGTTCGTGCAGCTGCAAGTGGGCAAGCAAGCGTTCTGGGTTCTCATGGCCGTCTCTGGGTTGTTGGGATGGACTACCTTAGCCTAGACTATGTCGATGTGAGTGCGGACCTTAGATTGACAGCGTTAAGGTATAGGCTGCCATTCGTCTAATGGCCGTGGGGGTGGAAGCTTTCTGAGATGGTGTGCTCTCCTAAGAAGGCTGCCGAGTGTCTTTAGCGTCGTAGATGAAGTCGTGTCTGCTCATCTAGTTTCTATTACCATGTTTCCGGAGTAGCTAGGTGTGGTGGACGTTGTGTGTTGTGTGTTGTGTGTTTTAGGTCGTTGTATCACTTACAAGTGGATGTCTTTGTGTACTTCTTCGTGATAAGGGCTGTCACGAGGGTTTGTGAATTGTATTGGTATCGTCTGCGTTGTAGATACTGCTCAAATCTATCAAAAACCAATGGTTAGTGTTGCGTCGAAATGAGGAGTAGTAAGGAAATACCGTTTATCTGATGGATGGGTTTCGATTCATCGCTTGTGCGCTTTTCCTGACTCCAAATCTCCTTCGCTTGTTCAGATCTGTGGCACGTTGTTGCAGTGATCAGCAGCTTTGCAATGAATGTGGTTCGCATTGAAAGCTGATCAGATGCTTAGGGATGGGTGGGCTAAGCTCAGCCGCAAAAGTGGTATAGTGATTGGTAGTTTCCCGGGGTGTGGTTGTACTGTTAGCAGCTAGGGGGTTTACTAGGTACTAGGTACCTAGTAAGATGACTGGAAGGACCAGGCCTCTTCTTCCAATCCCATCTCTCTCTCCTCTCTTCACCTCCCCGTCTTCCCTCTATCTGCAGACTCCCGGATTAATTAACTTAAATTTAGCTATTTTCAAATTTGTAATTGTACAAGTCCTGTGTATCTGTTTCTATTTGTTTTATCTATTTTATCTGCTTTACTGTGCTATCTGTTTTGATATCTGTTTCAACTGCCCTACATGTAATGAAGATTAACATTCTATCTGTTTCTCATTCTGTTTATAGCTTTTCAAGCTATATTGTATTCTTATTCATCTAAGAATAGTCTAATTTGAAGAGCTAAGTAAAGATTAAAAAAAGATAGTCATAGATTATTCTACAATTTAATCTGTTAATTCTACTACTCTACCAGTCTATCAAGCCTTAATATACTACTTAGCTAAGGTGTTGAAACATTCAATTCGGTCTTACTGGGTATTGATAGATATCTATGCCAACTCCTACTTCTTCTATTCCTGAAGTGGTTCACGCGCGCGAGATTACACTGATATGCATATTTCACGGGTACTACAGGCTTATGAAATGTGTCTATTCGGTTATTAGTGCTATTCGGCCGCTCCCAAGGTCTCCCCAAGTATGCTTTGGGCTAATTGATAACCTTTGGTAAAAGCCTGCATTCTTTGACTGTCCTGTCGGAGAAGCTCATACGCCACTTGTAAACACGAGGTTTCGCGGTCAACGATGTTCTTCAAAGCAGACCGGCTGCGATGGGACAGGAGTGCAGGAGAGCGTAGGACCGACCACTGGAGGCCCAGAAAGGCCAATGACATCCCCAGCAGGACATCTAGGTTCCTCACAGGTGCATTCGACGCGCTTAGGAGCATCTCTGCAGATGTTGAAGGCCACGCCCTCAGAATATCCGAGATCGATCTTGGCAAAGGTGCAAATCCTTGACGATGGATGATTTCAATCCCAATATCAACCAGATCTGGCATGCTAGCTCGATTCACTTCGTCCATCCCAGTCACACCATCCGATTCCGGACTGAAGTTGTACTGAGCGCGCAAAGCCCGAATTATGGCTGCCCCGAGCTCCGAGGCAACACGTGTGGGAATGCTGACCACTGACTCTAGGAGCGATATGTGCGCAAACCATAAAGGCAAAATTATTTTGCAATCGCTAGACTTGATTGGACGGTATTGCAAAGGCGCTTTGAAGACGGATTCATCGAGTGTGAGATCGGCAGAAAATGGAATTGATGCCGACGGTGAACGTGTGGTGACCAGGGAGGTAGGACCAAAACGGTCGTCTTGGCTTCGACCTGTGAAGTCCCAATACGCTTTGTGTCTTTGCTCGTTCTGACCCAGGGAGATGATCCAGTTCTTCAGATGCTCAATCTCACCCACGGTAAACGCACCAAACATCTTGCCCCCGACTTTGAGCTCACGGATCAACCTGCTTCGTTCGGGATCGCCCTTGACAATCCATGGGGAAGCATTGCTCAACTCGCGGAGCGCATCTCGCATCTGGCTCTTGGGTTGACCGAGGCTTGACTCTAGCCATTCGGCCAACGGCATTCCACCAATTCGGGCACGACATCCGGAATGCAACTTGTTCGACACAGCAGCCTTACCTGCTAGCAGTTGTGCAATATTGTAAGTATCAACTTCCGGGATGAGAGTCTCATCTGAAGCCATGTTCCAGTGGACTTTTTCTGCCGACAACGAAGATATGTCCCTCTGAACGTGTCTTGACTGATTTGAGGACAGCATATAGCCCGCCTGGATGCGCTTCCACGCTGTGTTGGCCGCGTGAGACCCCTCATTCTTCCGAATGTGGGAGAGGTACTCCGTGACTGCATGTGCAGCCATCATGGCGTGCCCAGAGTGGGCATTATCAATGGAAACATGGAGTAGGAAATATTGCGCATCTAGCTTGAGTTCCTGAATCTCTCTCGACAGGACCATGGTTTCTAGGTTCAGCCCTTCAAAGTGCAGGTTGTACCCCAGAATCTCAGGCAAGAACTCGTCGGGAAATAGCGAAGCAAGAAGCTGAACTACTGCCGCCTTCCATGCGCCAAGGCTCTTCATCTGGAGCGCGGGATCTATGAAACTTGGCTCATACGGTGCTGGCAAGCGCACCCCTAGATCACGCAAGAGGTTGTTATAGATATGTGCATGGTGGAGGTGCAGTGACCCATCGCCGAGCTCCTCCGAGAGCACTTACCAGAGCTGCGTCGTGATGGGTCGAAGTTCAAATGGCGTGGTGATGTGATGAATATGTCCCAGCCAGGCACCGTCCACCAGCTTGAGAGGTGCCAACTGGGTCAATAACACCACCGCTTGTTCGCGATCTTCTGCGAGGAGCCGCGGGCCTCCCGCTTCCCGGCCCGCAATGTACTTTTTGTACGCTTCACCGACCTCCCTGTGACTGTCATGTACGAATGCGAGCAATTGGTCTTCGTTGTAGACCTCGATGGCAAGGACATCACTGTGTTTCTCGGGGGGGTTGGATGCGATTGCTTCCGACAGCAAGGAAAGAAGTAGCTCTCGGGCTTCGGGTAGTATTCCTTGGTGATCTTCGATGTTGTGCAGTTTGAAAAAGAGGGATTGATAGTAGTCGATGGTACGTCCCGATCCGGGACACATACTGCCAATGGGATCATGGAGTAATTGGCGCTTCTCCTGTGCATCGATTCCTGCATTGTAGGGCTTCTGCTGCACTGCTCGTTTGGGAGCCCCTCTCAACAAAGTATACAAGGCAAAGATCAAGGACACCGCGGCAGCAATGGAGAGAACTGTTCCAGAGAAAGGCATATTTGTTTGGCGCTGACGACCAGTTCAGCGCAAATAGCCTAAACGCGAGTGATGGCCGGTATACACACACACACACACACACACACACACACACCTCTTGAGTTTGTAGTCAGTTGCGTGGGTTAAAGGAATATTACCTCAAAACGCTTCTGCTTCCGATCATATACCAACGGGTGGGGCGCTGTAGAATTTTCCCTGATATTCCGAAAGGCTATGTCCGAACACTAAGACACTTGGAAATATACATACGAATTCTTTTTTTTTTCAAGAAAAGGGTTATAGCCTAGCTGGCTGAGAGAACTGACTTCACGAGCCTCCACCATTTGTGGGGTGGCGAAGATTCCGTTCGTTATCAGGCATTGTGATTTATGTGATTGACGCTCAGAGCTGAGCATGTACAACCACAAGCCAGCTGAGCAGACTTCACCCAAGAGATCTCTCTCGCAAGCTGGTCGATGAATTGACTCATGATCCGCTATGGAGTGAGTTGAGGGCTTGACTGTCCAATCGTTCGACCCGTAATATCATTACTGTGGTTTCATGAGAATAGCGGCCCCTACACTAGCAAAGTATAAAGCTCATGTTTTTACGCCATTTTTTGTACGAAGCACATTATTCTTCCATCTCTCTTTAGCCTATCTCCTTTGGCAAAATCTCCCTCCTTAGTTTGCTTAACACCATCGCAATGGCTACCACTATATCACCAAGCACTTATACCCCTTTACGATCGGTCAGCCTAGATCGACTTCTAGCGAAGGACCCGGAGTCAATCCAAGAGCTTCTACAGGGCGCGCAAAGCCCCGGGTTTTTCCATGTGGACTTGCGAGGAGTCGCTGGAAAGCAGATACGAGCGGATCTGGCGCAGGTGTATCAAGTTACGAAAGATTACTTCGATCAACCGTCGCAGGCGAAGCAGGAGCACTTCAGGGCCGATATTGATCGAGGGCAAGTCCACAATCTGTTCCAAACACGTTCCAGGGCCTGCTAACCTTTGCACAGATACAAACCTGGCCATGGGTATCAAACCTTTGAAGTAAGTGATATTGAGACCGGGTTTCATCCACCGCCAATGTCGAGGGGGGAAAAAAAACTCTAACATTGATCCACAAATTCAGCTCGCTCGCGAGGAGCTTGCAAGTTCCCAGTTAGCCTGTCCGGGTCAGCTTGCAACCCACAAGGAGTTGTTGACGCGCTTCACCGCCGACTGCCACGATCTAGCCCTGACGCTCGTACGCAATCTATCAGACGTGTTGGGCCTCGCTGGTGATGCCCATCTAGAGACAAGCCACTCAGACACCCAGAGCAATGACTCGGGGTTAAAACTGATTGAGATCCCGACTGTCGAGCGGATGGATGAATTCCCAGATACGACACACACTGACAACGGCACTCTGACCCTTCTATGGAGCACGGAAATGGCAAGCCAGATCTGTGACCCGATCACCGGAGAGTGGGGATGGGCTGAGGAGCGAGATGGACACGTTCTAGTCAATGTGGCTAATTCGCTTCAGAAGCAAACCGGTGGCAGACTCCATTCCTGCCTCCACAAGGTGGCGCAGCCTAGTGATGGCGCTCATGAACGATACATGGTTAGCTATTACTTGCGCCCAAGCGCTAGATGAATTGAATTGGGGCTAGAGGGGGGGGAGGAGATCGGCGTGGGCAAGCTCAACATAGACTACAGTTCGGCAATGACATCCCTTTACTGCGTAACTCGATCATTTCTAGACCCCGCCACGGGTCGATTTCCAATGTTGGACCTAAACTCCGAGCTGGTAAACCCGCGAGTTACCCGTCAAAAACATGCTGTAGGATAAAAATAAATTGAAAAAATATATTCAGTCATCGAGAATTTTCTATGTCAGCTGTATAACTCTGATACTTGCTCTGTTTCATAGATTAGATTTAGGATCGGAACCCATCCTCAACCTACGGGCTTGAACTGCAAATGCCGTGCCAGACTGCTAGTGGGGCTTGAGAAGATCGGACCAGTCAGCATTGATATGGGGAGCGGCAGAATTCGACGGGTTTTCGCATGCCTGTAGGTGGGGACCCTAGTTAGCTAGGGACTTGACTTAACCATTAGTAGTATTACGTGGGAAACCATTCAGGTAGATCACAGCAGTCTAGAGCCAAGCGCCTCGATCTTGAATGAGTGGGTCGGTTGAGCAGCCCGAGCTGAGGGAGTGGGAGACAACCTCAGTTTACAGAACCCCAAAAGTTACGCGGTCATTCAGTATTTACAATAACAGATCCATGGTACTATTTCCAGTCTGGAACTTATACTAAATACTAACTATAGGCCAGCTTCTCCGCGAGTCTCCATTCTTGATTTGTGGCATGCTCGGCCCGGATCGGACGCAGAACGTGGTTGATGAGCGCGATGATGGTTGGTTGGAGCGTTCCTAATCCCAATTGTCCGGCTTGTAAGTCTCGCTCTAGCTCCTCATACGTGGTGTATTCTTTGGCGGAACCATCCACCAGCTGGGTGGTGATTTTTTTGTCGCCCAAAGCGCCCAGATGATAGAGAGGGAAGAGACAATGTTGGAGCATTGGCAAGACGGCCGTGGCAGCTGGGCCATCACGCTCTGCCCATGAAATGCCTTCGAACTTCTTCTTGATTGTGTCTGGTGAATCCAACCACTCGATCTTGGTGTCTGCCAAGGCAGACGACGACATTTTGCCCTTGTGTAATCCGGGAACGATCACGTTGGCCAGATGCGATACAGGCTCGTAGCCGACACGAGGGAGGACTTTGTCAGCATAGGCGAACATACCGAGCTGGATGAATCAAGGAAGATCAGTACTAAGCAACAGCGTTTAAGAGGGAATGTTCTGCTTCCCTCACCTGATCCACGCCACCAAGTTGAAAGTCACCACCAATGTAAACTTCACTGAGCGCCTGGTAGACCGGGCACAACAGTGGACTCATCATGTGGGCCGTAGTGACCTCGAGACCGACCATTTTGATGTCTGCTTGGGAAGAATGAACCAGCACCCGCGCTAGGTCCTTGCAGAACGGCGGAGTTGAGGTGTAGGTGGATTCAGCCACAAAGGTTATTTTGGACATGTCGACTCCAATAGCTCGAAGGATGGCAGCAATCAGGAAACGGTAATACTGTGTCCGATGGGCGACTACTTCTTGTGAAACGTCATAATTGACGAGATATGCATATGAGTCTCCCAGGTAGATTGTCACCTATCGGTTTTTTTTTTTTTGGATTTGTTAACACGGATTCGGCGGGGTGGAACCACGTTGTGAAGAACTGACCTCGCAACCGGCTGCCACACACTCAGCAACTTTTACCAAAGGAACCATATAGCCAAAGTGTGCTACGGATTTTCCTCTATGTAAGCGGGTTACGGAAGTCCCAAGGTCTTTTGGCACTTACGTCGTCCAGTGGGCGCCGTGCCTATGGAAAAAAAAAATAGGGTAAGCTACTAACATTTCGACCTCAAGAGCAGCTGGGCTTAATTACCCCAGTAGCCAGATACCTTTCCTCCTTCCTGCAGCTTCCTCTTGATGCGTTCATCGCTGACAACCTGCAATCGTGTGGTGATCGCGTCGAACACCTTTTGCGCATGGGCGTCAAGTCCCATCGTGGTATCTCTTCAGAAAATGATTGGTTGTGAAGACAGAGGGGGTTCTCCAAGATCACTGTAAACTCTAGTAGCAAGACCAGCACGAGATGGTAGAGCAGGGCATTATATATACCACCTTTGTGTATTCGATTACAGTATTGTTGTTGGATTTACTCAAGACGAAATATAACGCCCCACAATATGCCAGCTTCTAATCCACATTTTAGAGTTCGATAGTGCTAAGATTCAGCTCGTGAAGAAGATCGTCGGAAAGCCCGATTATAGGGTGTGACTCGCGAGTGTAACCATTGGGACCCACTGTGCAAGAGGCTGGCCACATGCTATTCGTAAAAAGGATATGATTTACAACGATCCCCACAGGGATCAATGTTTTCCCGCCCTACCATAGTAGATATTCCTAGATGTTGCTTTGGATGTCCGGTTTATGGAGTATAGTCAGATCGTGGCGGTGGAAACGAGAGGGGAAAGGAATGGAGGGCTTTCACTTGACTCGGTCGGTACGAGCTAATGTTTCTCTTCAATGACCATTACATTTTCTTTTCTCATTATCACGCAGAATTTAGTTCTCTTATCACTTATCATAGAGGGGTTACCGCACTCACCCAAGACCAATTCAGTACCTTGCTCGTGCAGTATTTGACGGAGACCAGACACAGGTGGTGAGCCGAACATCCATACAATGGATCAGGTACCAGCATCCTTCCCCAACTATCTCCCGGTTCCAGAGCTACAAAGGTAATCCTGACTGGCAAGATTAATCGTCCTTGCAGCCCACACACCCTGTCTGGCAGCGCTGATTTTCAGAAGATATCCGCCACTGGAGCCATTCGAACACCATGAGCATGGCAAAAATGCCGATTCTACCTTCCCTGACCTCTTTCCCCCAGGAGCTGGTGTTATTGAGCATCTGACTCCCCAGTTCGGCTCCGAGGTGAGCGGCATCCAACTAAGTCAGTTAACGAACAAGGGCAAAGACCAGCTGGCCCTATTTGTTGCCCAACGAAAGGTTGTAGGTAGGTGAATTGCGATGCCCCCTTCCATGAATGGGCGTCAAAGTGTGCAGGCATGTGTGGCTAACAGGGATCTGGTTGATGCAGCCTTCCGAGATCAAGATTTCGCCCATCTATCCATCGATGACGCCCTCGAGTACGGCGGCTACTTTGGCCGTCACCTCATGCATCCTACCTCGGCTGCCCCGAAAGGCTATCCTGAAATCCATGTCGTTCACCGTGGCCCCGAGGCCCAAACTTGTGCGAATGCCTTGCGTTCGCGCAATAGCGCTGTCTACTGGCATTCCGACCTGAGCTTCGAAGAGCAGCCGCCGGGCACTACCTTTCTATACGTCCTAGATGGACCTCCAAGTGGAGGTGATACTATCTTCGCGGATATGGTTCAGGCTTACCAAAGGCTTTCTCCTGAATTCCGTCAGAGGCTACATGGACTCAAGGCTGAGCACACCAGTGCGGAACATATCCAGAGTGAGGGGGGCAACTCGCGCCGGCCAGCCATCACCACGGCACATCCAATTATCCGCACTCATCCGGTAAGTATGAAGCGTGATAACCTGTCAAAGCCTGGCAATAAAAATAAAAACTAATCTACAAAAATAGGCAACTGGGGAGAAGGCCATCTTCGTAAACGAAGTCAGTAAGTATAAGAATCTGCCTTAAATGAATCGTATTCTATTGCTGATGAACGCTCTAGTCACCAAGCGAATAGTCGGGCTCAAGAAAGAAGAGTCGGACCTGCTACTCAAGTTTTTATTTGACCAAACAGCCTTCTCTCACGATCTTCAGGTGCGGCTTCGATGGAGGCCAGGTACTGTGGTGGTATATGATGTAGGTCTAAATCTATTGGGCTAGTTCTTCGACAAGGATAATAGCTAATGAACCTCAGAACCGCGTGACCTCGCACGCAGCGCTATTCGACTTCGAAGATGGATATCGACGGCATTTGGCAAGGCTTACGCCTCAGGCTGAACGGCCTTACGAGACCCCCTTCCAGGAAGCATAAGTGCACGGTTTCGACGTACAGAAGCAATCACAAACTCGTTAAAGAAGAATAGACAATGATCCCATCAAATCTCTCCGTAGCTCGAAAAATCCGTATGTTTATAACTGGACTAAAATCCAACTTCTTCATCGTCATAGGGACATACAACTAGAACCCAGCCACGCAGTGCATCAGTCACGGCCCCACTTTTTCAAAGGTCTTCTTGAAGCGAATTCTGGTTGTCATTGGCGTATATGGTGGACAGCGGGGTCAGCGTGTTTTATAACTCTCCAACTCCCCTCGGCTCCTTTAGGGGGGGCGGGGAAATCTTTCTATCAATTCAAATCTCTGGATGAGCCACCATGACAGAAACCATCCCTTGTCTGACCCCAGATCAGGTTGATCGATACTTTGAACATATCCAGTTACCCCATGTGTACCGACGAGATCGGAATCCGAGGTTGGATATCGCCCTGCTAACGGCCATCCACACCTATCATGTGTCAACCATCCCCTACGAGAACATTGCGCTACACTATGCCCCTTCAGCGCATATTTCCCTGGGGGTCACTGATATCTATCACAAATTTGTCGAGAGGGGCCGCGGTGGATACTGTATGGAGAACAATATTTTTCTTCATCATATTCTTTCCCTCCTAGGCTTTCAAGTGTACCTCGCCGGGGCCAGACTGTATCGTGATTCCAGGAGCAGCTCTCCCGGGTGGTCAGGCTGGTAAGTGTGTGTGTGTGTGTGTGTGTGTGTTATGAAGGCCGCACAGCAGCCACTTGTTTCCCCCCTCTCCCGCTGATTCTGGCTGGCTGATAGGGAACATGCCGTGAACATCGTCACTCTTGCCGATCAATCCCGGTACCTGGTTGATGTGGGCTATGGTGGCGATGGGCCCACGACCCCCCTACCTCTTGCGGCGGGGCCAATCACCACGAATATCGGCACTCAAGAGCTGCAACTGGGGTACGACACCATTGACGGGCTTACCGACGCGAAGCAGCGCCTGTGGATCTACCGGTTCCGCAATGCCCCCGACGGCCCTTGGACTCCGGCCTATGCCTTTCCCGAGACCGAGTTCCTGCATCGCGACTTTGAAGTCATGAGTTACTATACGAGTCAGCACCCGCGGTGCTTCCTGACTTCCAACCTCCTCGTGATCAAGTTCCTGCGCGACGGTAGCAACATCTACGGCAAGACCATACTGGACCAAGACAAAGTGAAAGAGAATCTCGGGGGCAAGTCGGTCCTGGTCGAGATATGTCGTACTGAGGAGGATCGCGTGCGGGTGCTCCAGGAGAGGTTTGGGATTTGCTTGACCAAAGAGGAGCAGGATGGGATTATTGGTCGGAAGTCCGAACTAGTCCGGTAGTTTGAGTAGTATGAGGCTGTACTAGGTACATACATCCCTTACCATAATCGTCTGTCTAAAAATCCAGCTCAAATGCTACCTAGCATAGGGCAGATTCCGGACCTTATGGATCTCCCACAACTAGGTCTAGAATGACCCTTCCTTCTGCTTAGGGTATAGCAAATTGGTAGATACGTCTTACAATTTCAAGGTATAACTAGTGCTTGTGTTGGGTCATTTGGCCCCATTGGTGAGACAAATCAAGTCTAATACAGGAGCGAAAAAAGCAATGTCCTCGTTTAGAGTCAGTATCTGCAGATCACACAGCATGCAGAAGGTCCACATGATAGCTGATCGATGATTGGGATCGTGTCGCCCTCAGTCATGATCTTGCAGTCTTGTCAATGCATATTAGACTCAAGCGATGTCACATCGTCATGATTGCTCTCCCTTCACCTGATGCAAGTCTCCCTCACTCTGCTACTGCATTGTCAATGCAGTAGCAGTAGCCTTACGCGGATTTCAACACTTCTTTCACCTTATTCGCGGAGATCGCAAGGTCACAAGACGCAACTATGGCCCTTATAGCTCGGTCTTTTATCAGGATCAACTTCTTTTGTATCGCATAGTCTTGTGATAATACAAAGTGTCGATATTTTGGTGTAGATCACAGTCAAACATGCTTTATATGCTTCAAACAAGCTGGCATGCAGGAAGTCACCGACAGTCGAGGCCTAGTCTTGGGTCGTATCTATTTTATTTTTGCAAAACATGTTAGACAAACTACGATCATACTTCTAGATTTGCTCGAGTGCTTAGATGACTTGACCCGAAGGTCAGGTCGTCACTGTACCCCTTGCTGCCTGCAAGGGTCGAAGCTCGGATTAGGGCAGTATGACTGAGAAGCAGTCTCCAGGAGACGGTGCTACTCACCAACTGCAAGGGGGAGGAGCAGTCCTGGGTTGACCTTGTCATTTTCCAAGTGGCAATGGTGTTCGTGCAGCTGCAGGTGGGTAAGCAAGCGTTCTCGGCTCTCATGGGCTCTTGGATCACGAGATGGGTTGGAGAGATTATTCCAAGTTCGTGAGCATGGCTGTCTCTGGGTTGCTGGGATGGACTAGTCCAGACTACGTCGATGTGAGTGCGGACCTTAGATTGACAGCGTTAAGGTATAGGATACCATTCGTCGGATGGCCGCGGGGGTGGAAGCTTTCTGAGATGGTGTGCTGTCGAGTATCTTTAGCGCCGTAGATGAAGTCGTGTCTGCTCATTTGGTTTACATTATCATGTTTTCCGAGTAGCGAGGTATGGTGGACGTTGTGCGTTGTATGTTGTATGTTTTAGGTTGTTGTATCACTTACGGGTGGATGTTTTGTATAGTTCTTCGTAATAGGGGCTGTCACGAGGGTTTGTGAATTGTGTAGATATCGTCTGCGTTGTAGATACTGCTCAGATCTATCAGAAAACAATAGTTAGTGCTGCGTCAAAATCAAGAGTACTCGGTAGTAAGGAAACACCTTTCATCTGATGAATGGATTTGGCTTCTCGCTTGTGCGCTTTTCCTGACTCCAAATCTCCTTCACTGATCCAGATATGTGGCATTTTCTCGTAGGGATCATCAATCTTGCAATGGATGTGGGAAGTCATGGTTTGAACTCAATAGCATAAGCGGTATGGAGATTAGTGGTGTCCTGAGGCGTAGTTGTCTTGTAGCAGCTAAGGAGACTACTGGGTACTTAGAAAGATGCCTGGAAGGGCCAGGCCTGTTCTTCCAATCCCATCTCTTTCTCCTCTCTTCTCTTCTCTTCCCCGTCCTCCCTCTATCTGCAGACCCCCAGCTCATTATGAGAAGCATATTCATCATCATTGCATCAATATGATGGATGTGGCTATTCACAACATGCCTTCAATTCCAGAAGAAGGCCTGACCGCTAGTTGATTTGCAAGTACGGCCACAACGGTTGGCTTTGGCCAGAGCCAGGAGACCTCCTGAGAAGTATGGGGATCCTTGCAACGAGTGTCTCAGACTGAATCTACCTCATCAGATGCAAACGACCAGCCCCGTTCTCCGCTGCCAACGTTCCAGACATTATGGGCTCACGGGTAACTCGACGATGTGGTTCCATACAGCTCGGCTCATCCGATGTGAGTGTCCACTTCGTCGCTGTCATGTCTCACAAATTGCCCAAGCCAGACAAAGAAGCCTGGCTGGCAAGATCGGTTGCACGGCGAGAAGCTCACTGCTGTCTTTCAGGATGCAGCGGAACATAAGTATCTGGAGATCCTTCACATCCTCCTGATCCTGCCTCCATTCTCCATCCTTTCCTTCGCTCGACAGCGCACACTGAACAAAGCTCGAGTTGCTACATTTTATCCCTTTTCGAGCAGGCTTCTTCATCGATATTCTTGAAATCTAGTTCCCACATCTGTTTACTTCTAACTTCTGTGGTCATCGACTCTGCGATCCTTCTCTGTGCTCCAAAAGCTCTTCCAATCTCTGTTTTTAGTTACGCGCAGCCTCGCTTAGGTTGTTTCTCTTACCTGCTTTCTCTTTTGGCCGACCAGTCCCATTCCTTTAGCGACAGTGTTAGTCTCAGGGTCTATCTCGGATTGCTCATTTGTGGTACGTAGTTCCTTCGCTTGTGCTTAGATAGTGCAGATAATTTGACACTAACACTTTGCCAGCACAGCATGACTCGCCCGTCGGATCAACACCCTGTTGAGAAGGACACGGATGCCCACGAGCCTGAAATCAATACCAACGACCAGCCTCCAGAGAACGACCATGTCGCCGGCGATGGGGACGATGTGGAACATGGACCTCATTCAGCAGGAGGCACAGCAAGCTTTCGGAGCCGGAATCTACGTCGCCCTGCCCAAGCGTTCCCTGAAGGCCTTACTAGACTGGATGCAATCCACCGGACTCTCCAGATGTCCAAAGATAATGGCCACGCGATGATGGCGGAGGATGTACATGACCGACCATCCTCCTCCGCCACCCTTGATCCAAGAGTGGTCAGGGTCAAGGGGCTGGAGGATGAAGTCGATTCGCTGCGAAATGAGCTTGGAGATGTCAAGCATGACTTGACCATCATGCAAGAGGCAGTAGATGACTACGAATTTGATAGCCACGTGACCCGCGCCGACCTTTCAAAAACGATGCTCGAGGTGAAAGCTGACAGAGCTGATCGACAGTTCGAGTTCCGAATGATCACGAATGAACTCCAAAATCTTAGCAAGGATTTTAAAAGACTAACCAAAAGGCTTGAATATTTCCAGGGACTCATTAAGGACTACGAGAAGGACTGTCCCTGTGCCAGGAGTTACGCAAAAGCTCTCGAGGCGCGGATCGATGGGCTCGAAGCGAGAATAGGGGCTCAGAAGAGTCCCGACGCACAACACCGGCAAATTCCTGGGAGGCCTTTCTGTATCCCTCACAGGAACCAGGACAATCTCGCGAGGAACCGAGGCGGCTTCTTGCGCGCTGGGGAGTGGAAGGACCGAGCAAGGGTGGGCCGTGAGCTAGGGCACGACGCTGATTTCCTCACCGATTTGAAGATTTCTCAGAGGAAGAATCAGTCGGACGATGGCACTTTTAGGAGTCTGTATGGATTTGCTCCGCAGTGGAGCGAGGAAAGTAAGTTTTCCTGCCTTCTTGATCACATCAGCCGTCATTATGGAGTGGGACTAAACGACAAGACTTCTAGCATTTTTGGAGTATGAGTCCTTCGTCAAGGTCTTGAATCTGTATGGCTCAGAACACTTGAAACAAGTTGAAGTGAAGCTCAGCAAGGGGTTGGAGAGGGCTCATAGTAAGGCGGTGGAACTCGCTAACAACAACAAGATGGAGGAGGCGGAGAATGTGTGTACGAAGTACTTGGAAGAAAGGTCCAGGAGCCAGGCTGCACTGTGAATTGGACAAGGACGGGTTTTGGCGTTTCGTGTTTGTGCTTGGAGGATAACTTGCCCTTTGTTGCACATCAGATTGAGACTTTCCTTGCCAGTCACTTTTCGGCGATAATTCCGCGAGAATGCTATTGAATATCGAGAAGTCTGATGAGTCTAAACTGTCTCTCTCCGTTTTAAGCAGATGGAGCCTGCTCCGCGTACGAGGAATCGCGTTTGCGAGTTAGCTGATAGGCGCCACTTCCATCGACTGACACGTACAGTACAATACAATCTAAGCTCCACCCTCCAGCCATACCACGACTCCCCTCCTCCCCACACCACAACTTCACATCCAGACTCTCGGGGGCTACTGCTGCTTCATCCAGGCCCAGACGATCGCTCCAGCACATTCCCATCCGCATCTAGACCACCTCACTCAACCGCCCCTGCGTCCAATACCCGCCCATCCGCCCCTCTCACGTCACCAGCACATCGTCCATCGTCACTCCGCACGCTGTCAGCATCTGCCAGAGGCCAACATCCCCTTGGACCACCGCAGGCTTCTCGCCTTGCACCTCGAGCTCATACGCTACGCCGGCAAACTCGTCCACGCGGTGACGACGACATGCGGGCTCCGCGAGCCGTACGCGCGCGGGATGACGGGTGTAGTGCCCATCCGCGTCTGCTGGGCCAGGAGCTGGGCGAGGCAGGCGGGCTCTCGGGCTGCGCGGATGGGTTCGCGGATGTGGGCTGCTAATATTGATTAAGGATGGCGGGGCGGCTGATACTGATGCAGAGTTGTTGATGGGGATTGCGGGCACCAGACACCAGGGGTTCGTGAGTGGCGTCCGGGGGCTCGGCGATGTATTGTTCGAAGTTCATGGTGAAGCTGAAGTTGGCGTTTGGGGAGTTGGGCGAGAAGGAGGCCTGGATTGTCTTTCATGTTAAGACTGGCAGACCTTTGGGTGGGTGGGGAAGGGGGGCAGAGAGAGGGCTTGTTTCCGCGTACCTGGTAGATAAAGGCCATGAGCAGGCCATGTTCGGTGACTTTGACGTTTTGGCATCGGGCATGGCTCATCTAGTGGTCGATGTGGTCTTGGGGGATGAAGAGGGTGTGGCGGACGCGACGGGATGAGGGGCGGCGGTGGGCCCAGGATTGTTGGCGGAGGCAGACGGCGCCGAGGAGGGCCCAACTGGCGCGTTTGTGCTGGGTGTATCTTATGATAATCTGGTCTTTTTCGGGATCGTTTGTCGTCGTCGTCGTCGTTGTTGGGTTTAAGAAATCTGGTTTGAGGGTGAGTGGTGCTCGGAGGGGGGGATTTGCGCTGCTCGGGTGGCGGCGCGGTTCCTCCTAGGATGGAGAGATATGCTTTTGCGATGTGATGAACTCCTGTTGGTAATGGAAGTAGGACAATCAGCTCTGTCTAAACAAAGCCAAAGCGATATCAGTGGTACTGAAAACTGGCTGACTTACCGGTGGCATCACATAGTGGGTGTTGCACGGTAAATCGAAGGACACGCCTCGTGGAGAAAGACCGCGTGGATCGAGAGCACATGCTGGCGAAAGGCGCCCTTGTGCTGTCGGAGAAGCTCAATTTTGCGCAACAATGTGATCCAAGGCATCGATATCGGTACCTTATTCATCGCAGGAAAGGAGGGGGTGTATGTCCAGGAAACATCTAAAAAGCTGTTGCTATTGGCGGCTCGGAGTGCCAGATCGGGTGGTGGGTATGGCTGAGTGCAGAACATGCATCACCTATCACGCGGAGACGCGACTTTTCTCTACCATGTAGGTGATGGGCTGCTCATATTCCTCTGCAACACCTGGGACTTTCGCATCATCTGTTCTCTTTACTGAATACTGAATAAGACAGTAGAAGAAGTGGGTATCTCATCTATTCCTGCAAAAGCTTATCGTGTAGTTAGTTATCTTCAGTACCTGATGTGTAAAGGAAAATTTTGGTAAGAAAATCAGAATAGCTGTGTATCCCCACTTCCTGTATATTGTCTATGATCTTGCTCGTTCTACGCCGGCAGTGCGCCATTTCAACCTGGTCATCACATCGGTCAATAGGTCGCTTTGCTGCAGGAAAGAATAATCGTCACCCTGCAATGAAGCAGACACCGTGGGCCCTAGCGCCGGCCCGCACATGGCGGCAGAGATCCAGATCGAGAGCATCAGTGGTAGATCTTGCGCATAATACTACACCAATCAGCATGGGTTGTAAAAAGCTCCTAAAAAGCCTTAGCGAGTCATGTGGCAGCTGAAGATCGAAGAAATCCTTGCAGAGCACATGGGCCAAGGAAAGCATTGATGGTCTCGATCTAGGCAGCTAATGAAGACGTCACACAGATTGCAGCAATCGCGCCTATGTTAGCCCCAATCCCAGTCAGTCATTGCTCTGAAATCAGAGTTCTTAGAAAGGTGAGCGACCAGCAGCTTTAATGATGTAATAATATAAAGAAAAGGCAATACATATTGTCCGGAACGTAGAGCACAAGACCGAGGGACGCCCTGTATTCGAATATTCCATATTCAAGCGTCATATGCCCAAACACTTTCGTCAGCTCTAGGCTCGCCGTAACGTCAGTAGCACCTTCGCTCACCTCGCAAGCCGTGTATATGGCCGGGCTGATGTAGACGACGAGAGTATAGGTGCTGCGGATTTCTCGCTTAGCCCTGAGATGGCTCACTTACAAGATCATATGGACATTTGACAGCAAATTCAGCGGTAATTGATCGAAATAAAGGCCCTTTATGAGTCGCAAGCGACCGTCGCCGCTGTACCATCAAGTGTGCACAGGCGCTCTCACAGACCAGGAACATCTTGTCGGTTTGTAGAAAATGAAATGCAGCCCAGGGTGGCAAATCACACTGCATGCAGAAGGTCCACATGATAGCTGATCGATGACTGGTATTGTGTCGCTCTCGAGCATGATCTTGCAGTCTTATCAATGTATGTCAGGCTCAAGCGATGTCACATTGTCATGATCGCTCTCCCCTCACCCGATGCAAGTCTACCTCACGCTGTCGACAAGGCTATCCAGATTTCAATCCATTTCTGGGGAAATGGGAGCTCAGCCAGTACAGACTCTTATTTAAATCCTCTGTGGTGACTGAGATGGCCCAGAATGATTTTTCCCTTGGATTTCCCGACGACAGACTGACCGCCAATGAGAAATTCTGTTCTCTCAGCTCGCCGTATTTTCGCCTGAGTTGTCATTATGTGGAGCGCTTACGACAAGAAAGTACTCCTTGTCACAGGGGGTACAGGGTTTCTGGGGACAACCCTCCTCTACCGCTTGCTCACTGAAGCATCTCCGGCTCAAGTCTACGTTCTCTGTCGCGGCGGCCGCAAGTAAGTGTGACCCTAGTTGTCCGATTCAGCCCTGAACAATCATCACCTAACACAATACACAGGAGAGCATTGGAACGGTGGCTCGAGCACTTACCAGTGACAATCTTTCAGCCAGTTTTTCAGGCGGCAAACTCGATAGCTGTTCTGGACGGGGATATTACTCAGCCCCGAATGGGTCTTTCAGAGTCAGAGTGGAAGAAACTCGAAGAATCAGTGCACATCGTTGTCCATGCAGCATCATCGATCAATCTTTTGAGTAGGCTTCCGGCAATGTCAAAGTCAATCATCATCCCCACCGTATCACTGGCAGAGTTAGCACTTGATTTTGTGAGTCTCGAGCGCTTCGTCTATATTTCAACCGCGTATTCCAACTCGCATCTCTGGAAGCCACAAGCCCCGGCTGCAGACGTGGTTGTGAGAGAGAGAATCCACCCTCTCGGTGGGGACACGGAGGACTGGGCTCAATCCGCTCTGAAGGCATGGGAGGAAATCCAAACTAGGGCCAGCAGCACTGAGTATGAGTCGCAAGACCTTTTCCCCTGGGCCTATGGGTATGCCAAGCATCTCACAGAACGCCTGTTGGTCCATCGCTTTTCCGAAGCAGGCGCCTCAGATAAATTGCTCATCATCCGACCGTCGATCATGGGCCCTGCGTGCGAATTTCCTTTCCCCGGGTTCTGCGTGCCATCATCAACCCCATTCATCACCGTGACAGCTATGATTATCCCCGATCCTGGACGCGAGATCGTCTTCAATTCTCGGCTCAAGGATCCTTACCACGAAGCCACATTGGATGAGGTTCCCATTGATGTGGTTGCCGACCGCCTGTGGGCTCATCTGGCTTTGGGCACCACGGAATTTGTGCATGCTGTTAGTGGGAAAGCCCACCGATGGCACTGCAAGGACTGGTGGTCGGTCACCATGAAGGAGCGAGTGCTGCCCGGGAAGCCCGGAATGGTTTTTGAGGACTTAGATTGGCAATCACCGAGGCTGCATCCGGCTGCTCGCCTGGGAGGTGTCATCGGGACGTCGTTCGATTTCGTCGAGGATAAGAGCCGACTCCTCGCAGAGTTGCTGAATACGCAAGATCATCGGCTCCGGCTCTTCACCAAGCCACGGGCTTTCTCTTTCGGCGCGGCACGCGACTACATGCGCGCGCTGGTGCGGGCCAAATCAGAGCGTAAGGCGCCGTCAAAATTGCGAGCCAATCTATAGCATGTGTAGTGTGATATATAGTCCGTTTTTCTTGGCGCCATCTTGAGGTGTTTCGCGTTTGTACGTATGCTGCATGGGTCTGAGACATGGCGGAGTTTCACCCAGTATGTCGCGCGGGGGG